GCTAGTCTAAGTCCTATAGATCTAGTCTAGGCCTAGAGTCATAGCCCAGGCATAGGCCCGTAAAAATGTAAAGAAATAAAGCTTACAGCATGTTCTATTTAAGTGAATTTGACTCAATGTTATACATGTTCCGGGCCTATGCCTAGTATAGTCCCGCAGGACGAAGAAGATAGAATGTAAAAATCAAATTGAAAATCAAAATAATCGAACGAAAAAAATTGAAAAAGTTGAAAATTCGATTTCGATTCAATTTGATTTTCTGTCATTATAAATGAAATACTGTACTTACCAACATGTTTCTCGGATATATATGTTGTTCTTACTTTATCTTCGCCGAAGATCGATGTTTATTTATATATAACAATCGAATAATCGACATAATTCAAACTCATCACTATGACACAAAAATATATCACTTTCGATACCATGTAAACTGCTAAGATGACGTCATTTATATCCGGGATTGCTTTGCAAACTCCACACAACAGACTGTCCCAGCTTTTCTCCTGCTTTCTCCCGATGCAATTCATACATTACTCGGAGATTACTGTCAAACGTTCCAAGTTTTACAATTTTAGCATGTTTATTACGCTCTAATTCCTGCCAGTATCAATGAATAAATCTATTGACCAACAGATTGGAAATATGTATTCCAGCGATACCCTCATTTTGACGAAAGAATGGTACAAATATGTCCACTATTTATCGAGATATCGTGTAGAAAAATTGAGGAAAGACATCGCTTAAGAAATTTCTATTTCTAGACTGAACTGTTCACGCTCGCAAGTGGCATCTCCATCTCCATATATGGGCAAAAAGGTGGAGTTAACAATAAGCAATGCAGAGATTGACACGATTCACACGAAGAAGTCTCGATGAATCTCGCTTAAACTCCGCCCCTTCTTCGTGAAAAATCACGTGAATTCCGGCTTTTGCTGGGACATATCCGGGCATCTCGGCTTCGAACCCAATCAGAAGTTTCAATTTTGACTGGCGCCGCATACATTATCTCAAGTCTCACCCAATATTTTTATGTATACGTTAACTAGTAGTCTAGGCCTAGAGTCATAGCCCAGGCATAGGCCCGTAAAAATGTAAAGAAAGCTTACAGCATGTTCTATAAGTGAATATGACTCAATGCTATACATGTTCCGGGCCGATGAAAAATTCGATTTCGATTCAATTTGATTTTCTGCCGTTATAAATGAAATACTGTACTTACCAACATGTTTCTCGGATATATATGTTGTTCTTACTTTATCTTCGCCGAAGATCGATGTTTATTTATATATAACAATCGAATAATCGACATAATTCAAACTCATCTACGACACAAAAATATATCACTTTCGAAACCATGTAAACTGCTAAGATGACGTCATTTATATCCGGGATTGTTTTGCAAACTCCACACAACAGACTCAGTCCCAGCTTTTCTCCTGCTTTCTCCCGATGCAATTCATACATTACTCGGAGATTACTGTCAAACGTTCCAAGTTTTACAATTTTAGCATGTTTATTACGATCTAATTCCTGCCAGTATCAATGAATAAATCTATTGACCAACAGATTGGAAATATGTATTCCAGCGATACCCTCATTTTGACGAAAGAATGGTACAAATATGTCCACTATTTATCGAGATATCGTGTAGAAAAATTGAAGAAAGACATCGCTTAAGAAATTTCTATTTCTAGACTGAACTGTTCACGCTCGCAAGTGGCATCTCCATCTCCATATATGGGCAAAAAGGTGGAGTTAACAATAAGCAATGCAGGGATTGACACGATTGACACGAAGAAGTCTCGATGAATCTCGCTTAAACTCCGCCCCTTCTTCGTGAAAAATCACGTGAATTCCGGCTTTTGCTGGGACATATCCGGGCATCTCGGCTTCGAACCCAATCAGAAGTTTCAATTTTGACTGGCGCCGCATACAGTAGAGAGGTTAAGCAAATACGGTTTTTCAAAACGTATACGTAAACGCAAAGTACATTGAATCAACATAGGATTGTATCGCTTTAGTCTACTTCAGATACCCGTTCAACTTCAAAGTTGCGTGTTTAGAACGGGAGATTTACATATTTCACGTTGCTATCAACGGGAATCATTATACTCATGTCTGTTGAATACTATCCTTGCAATTTTGATTTCGATGCAGAGTATAATTCTTTCTGAAGAAGATGATGTATGTTACGCATGATTTAACTCCAATAATCTTACGAAACGAGCTCGTTTAAAATATGTATTAGAAAACCAGCTATTGAACTTCATCAATGGCATACTATGTAATCATTACAAGCTATGGTGTAGTCTAAACAAACACTAGAGCTGAACGGCTATTTATGTGTGAACTCTACATGTATTTGTATAGGGGCCATTGATACGTTTAAGTTGCGTTTTGGATTTTATACGGTAGCTTAACCTCTCCAGTATCTCAAGTCTCACCCAATATTTTTATGTATACGTTAAAAATTCTGAGCCACAATCAGACTGGCCAAATCATTAAATAAACGATGATATATCTTGATCCCAAAGGCAGACTTAATCTTAACAAATGGTATTCTTGTTAAAATTAAAAAACGCAATCACAAATTGTTCTCAGTTTTAAATAAACAAATTATGTTCTTATCTTGATCTGATGTCAAATTAAATTGGCTTTAAAAAGCTGGACAAATACATATCAAAATAAAGCAGGCAATCAGACAAATTACCTAAAGGATTGCTTGCAATTAGTACTGTTTAAATCTAGATTTGTCTTTGTTTGAGATTTTTATGTTTATATTTTTAAAGGTGATTTTTGATATTCAACATTATTTATATCTTAATGTTAATGTTTTATTTTAGATCTTTCACGGCTAATCATATTAAAAATATTTAAATATTTAATGTTTATAAATATAATGGCTCGAGTCTACTGGCATATTGAGATTTAAATGTGGATCTAATATGAAATAAACCTTGTTGATAATTGATAAGACCAAGAACAGGGGATGTATTGTGACATTGTTTTGTGATTAATTTCATTAATGACTGGCTGGAAGAAAAGTTCAAGCTCATAAAAATCAATTATATTTTATATTTTAGAATGGATTGAGACTTAAGCCACAGTTATTTCAACGTGTAGAAGTCATGTACATCTGTATTCAAATTCATAGTGTGTAACAGAAATCATCCGACCAAATCTAGCCAATTTACAGCAGAAATATTTAAGTAGACATGATAAGGGTAAATTAGATTAAGTGCCTATTGAGAACATACAAAGGGCATAACATGATGATTTTGAATGGGCCGCAGATTTGCGGCCCTTTTTGGCTTATATATAGGGGTGTGGATGCATTTTTGATCGCATTAAAGGTGATTTTCGCCATGGCGTGCAAAGGTTTACAATACCTTAATTGGTCTCGATAGTAAAGTACTTTTTCTCCTAGTAAAACTTGATATTGGCAATACCTCAAGGAAGAAATCTAGTTAATAATAACTTATCGAGGCGTGTAGCCTTTTTATTTTTTCGTGAAGCCACTCAGTAAAATTACGATTTCTCTGCAACCTGATGTCCAATCAAGATGATTCGAGTATCTATGTGTTCCTGACACGTTTGGGCGTCCGGGAATTTACAACGTCATCCCAAAGTTTGCATGTGAAATTGACGTAATTAATGACTAAAATCGGGAAGACAAAACTATTTACAAAAGTGTCCCAGAGACTCTAATCTACTTGGCTAAGGTTTTATTTGAAGATACATTGCCTTATTAAGCAAGTAGAGGGACAAAACACGGAAGCAAATGCTCTGTTGAAAATTTTCTGTTTTTCAGTTTGAACATGTTATTACATGTCACGTAGGCCAGTGTTTTATATGGGGATTATATGTACTTTACTTGTTTAAATGACCGTAAATCATTACATGAAATCTGCAGTCTTCCGGGTTTTATCTGGGTTTGTATTGTCTTATTGGGGCTTTCCGACAAACCTTACCTAAATGGATTTGTGTCTCGTGAACATTTTTGTAAATAGTTATCATAAACAATTCTGAAAGAATATCACATATTTTTGTCTTCCAGATTTCAGTCGTGGTACTTCGTATTTACTTTTTCATGTCAAAAAACCTTGACTGTATGACATCTTGAAATGTCCTCTATTTTTATAGATTTTGGTACAAAGTAAAGTTCCTAAATTAAAATTGCGAAAATGCCAACTGGGCATTTATTTTGCACAGAGCATTTATTTAAAAGAACTCAAAATAAACGCCCATGGGCCTTATTTATTTATTTATTTATTTATTTATTAATTATTTATTTCTTGAGGGAAAAACATTTTCACATGGGACGGACGTTCGATATGCTAAAGAGGGGAAAGGGTGATCAATAAAAGCACTTTAACATATTTCAATGGAGTTGTTGAATGTCCAGCACTGAGGCCCAGGAATACGTTAAAAATGTTTAAAAAGAGTTGTTAATGCGTGGCCTATACATGTAGAGATTACTTACATGTATAAGAATAAGACTGATTTTTAAAAGCTTAATGGATAAGAATAAACTGATTTTTTTTTATTAATGGCAGTATACCCGGGCCTCGGGTCCAGGACGTTGTACACACTTTTCGACTAAAATAAATTCCTCTTCATTAATTCTTCAATTTATTTTGGAAACTGAAGTGTCTTGATGATGTGTGGTGATGTTATTAATAATTTAGTCACTATTACACGATGATATAACTCAAGATGTCGGAAATATGATGAATTTCGAGAAAAATGATTATTTTTCAAGAAATTGTCGTGCTTTCTAGAAGATTTGAGAAGTTCTAGATCGTGTTCAGAAAAATATTAAGACGTGGCGATACTAGATGCATCTCTGCGTAGCATGGGCATGAGAAAAGAAGGCTAATTTTATTGTAAAACGTTGAAATAATTGAGTAAATAATAGCTACAAGATATTGCATGTTATTCACTTCATTTTGTACGAGTTGTTGGGAATTGGGCATGATTATTCTCGTATTTAAAAGGGTCATACACATCTGAAATAGTTCCGGAAGCGGTACTCGTTGAGAGTCTCTCCAGCAAAAATGCTCTTACAGTAAAATTTTAAATGTTTGGAACTACTTTGAATTTAAAAAATAAGCAATCAAATGACTATATTGCAACAGATATGAAAACATGAAAACATATTTACAAGTCCTAACTTTTGTGTATTTCAGATAGTTATGTATAATGTGCAGCAAAGCTGTGGTCTTTTGTAATTTAGGGAGTTTCAGCCATGTTATTTTTTTCGAAAATAACATTGCAGAGAAGCATCAAAATATAAGAGGCCACAGATATGATAGCTAAAGTACAAATCAAACTAAAATATACAAAAGTTAGGACATGTATAAATGTTTCTATTTTTACACATTCTGTTTCAATATGGACCTTTAATTACTTTTATTTTTTAGATTCAAAGTAATTCCAAACATATTTATAAAATTTTACTGTATATATTTAGAAAAATGAGAAAAGAATCAGTTGTGATAATTACGTTTCTGTCTGTTTGCTGCATTGTATTAATAAACAAACAGTTATTTCAAGATAATATGATAAATGCACCAGAAATGTTATTAAAGCAGTCGAACGAGAGGACACAGTCAACATACCTCACGGGCGTATCCAAAGGAGTCTATAATGACGCAATTGATAACAACGCAGGCAACTTTAAAGCAGCAAAAGACACGTCTGGTGGCAATACTAATGTCACTCATAATGAGACTCAGTACAAATGTCAACCAACTGATTCAAACAGAACATGCCAACCTTTAGAGTTCTCTGAGAGGTTACTACCTATGACTGCACTCTACAGTTTCCCCGGCTCTGGAAATACATGGGCGAGGCATCTAATACAACAGATAACAGGTTGGTAAAAAAGTGCTAAGGTCTCATTGATCAATCCAAATATAAATAAAAGCGTTAATTGCATATGATTATCAATGATTTGTAAATCGTTCGATTAAAAGATTCAAATGTCACACGACTGCAAAGGATAACAATATTTAATTTAGAGATTGACAGTTTCGTCTTATGTGCCATTCAAATGTTTGCGTGATACCCCCCCCCCCCCAGGCGGGCATGGATGGGGAATTTAACAAAAATCGGCCTGTCTAGTTCCTTACCGTGGGGTACAATGTGTCAAATATTCTCGACCCTCGGGCCCTTCCCTCAAATTTCCTTTTTAGCAGGCTAATGCTCATGATTGTTGAGGGCCCGGGGTTGAGGGATACATTTGCAGTACTTTGTTTATATCAATATTTTTATGAGGGATATACAATATATGGTCATGGGATTCTTCGCGGAAAGCCCATTACGCGGGCTCCGACTAATTAATGAATGAAAAGTTCTCCATGAGGCAGAAGAAGTGAGTAGCTTCTTCATCAAATTAACTAGATGCGAGTAGAAATAATTTTGATTTACTTCATTAAATATTCAAAATTTATGGATATCATATTTGAAGTCTACATGTAAAATTTCATCTAAAAATCTAGTTTAAAAAAGTATTTACCAACTTTGAAAAGAAGTGAGTGGTAAACCAAGAAGCAGGAAATAATTTGTTCGTAAAAGATCGTAAAAATCAGTGGAATAAAGAACATTAAAATAAATATATTTAGATCCAATTCCTAAGATAGTAGAGCATCTGATCAGTGAACTACAAGAAGAAGGGTGTATCCTAGGAGGATATAAGATAAATGCAACAAACAATGGAACAACTATCACATTGCAATATCAGAGACATATCTGGCAATATGTAGTACACCATTTTGGTGACCCAAGGTAACAAACAAGAGGCAAAGTAGGCAAGTAGGCTAATGAGAGACACAAATAGGACTTTCAATGCCAGTAAAAACTAGTGATTAGTTCCAAACCATGAACAAATAGGATTACATGAACAGTCACAGTGGCGGATCCAGGAACCAACAAGGGGGGGGGGGGGGGGGGGGGCCAAATTTGAGGTCAGAGAAAAAAACCTCCAAAAAAATTTTGGGCCCCTAAAACCGAAAAGTGGGCCCAAATTTTGAACATTTGAGGCCCATTTTCTTCAAAATTTGGCCTAAATTAAAAAAATAAGGCCTTAGAAGGCCCAATAATGACCAAAAGGCCCACTTTTTGGGGCATTAAGGCCTTCTTTGGCCTAAAATTAGGTACAGTTTCCATGATCCAATGGGAAAATATTGAAATCTTTGGATTGATTATGAAAAAAACGAGGATTTTCGGTACATAACCCCATATACCACGGGATAGCTCCATATGTCCCCTTAAAACTGAAAATGTTTTTGCATAAAAAGGCCATTGAAATAAAAAGATATGACCGCTTTTTCCGCCATCTATCCGAATTTCAAACAATTTTCAATAGATTTCAAACTCAAGACCTAGTCTATATCCAATAAGACTGAATTTCCTGAGAATTCAGTCTATTGATCATTATGTCCCTCCTGTGGGAAAAACAGGAAATTTCCTGCAGACAATTATCAATTTTAGGAAACTTCACTTCCCAAAAATAAGCATTATAACAATTCAATTAAGTAGTAAGGTACAATTCAATGCTACAACAAGGCACAGACGTGAACAATATCGTACCTAAAACACAGCATTGTGGTCTTGTTGACCAAGAAAGCAAAATGGCCGCAGAAAAGTTAATCAGCTCTAGAACTTATCACTGTGTAACATATGTAAAAATTTGAACGGTTTGGCTGGAAACCTGTAGACAAGCCTCGATAGACAAGATTTTAGGACGGAAAATCTAAAATGGCAGCCTTAACATTTACCCAGAATGCCCAAAAACTAATCAGTTCTTGACGTTGATATGTAGAAACATCCCTGAAAATTTCAGATGAATCCCTCAAATGGTTTGGCTGGAAACCTGTAGACAAGTCTTGAAAATGAAGATTTTAGGACGGAAAATCCAAAATGGCCACCTTAAAGGCCCCATATAAAGTTTAAACCACTTTGGCTTATATTGTAGTCTTACCCAATGTTATCAAAGTGTGATATGTGAAACTTTTTTTTAAAATTTCAAAAAGTGGTTTTTGATAGACTTTTTGTTCCAAAATTTGTGAATTTATTTAAAACCAACGTTTAGAGATCACTCATATCTTCTAATTAGCCACAATTCATACCAATGCATAGCATTCATCCTCCCATGTTATTTGCCGAAAAAATTAAGAAAATCGGTTCATAAATAAGCGAGAAATGAACTTATCAGTGCATGAAAATGGTTCTGAGAAAAATGGATTTCAAAATTTTAGTTCTCATAGAAACCAATGTTACAATGATATCTAAAACATAATTTATTCTTCCTTTTAACCTGGTTAGACAATCAACATTGGTTTTTTATGAAAGTCTAGCATATTAAGAAAAGATTGACATCGAAAAAAAATTCCATTTTTTTCAAAAAGTTTTTGGTACCTTAGTGACATCACTAATGTTTCAAAATATTTTTGATAAGCTAAAACATTGAAGTGGCCCATTAATTATGGCATTTTATTATTGAAATAGTGTGTCCTTTGTTCAATCTTTGCATTGGTGTTAAAAAGATAATCTTTTTTGAAATGCATTAAGAAATATTTGATGATTAAGAAATTTCAAATTTGAATATTTGAGAAATGAAATGCTCACAACTTGTTCAAAAATCTCTAAAATCACTTTTTAAGTCCTGACAAATAGTAAATGAATGATAAAAAAATATTTTCAAACTTTAGACGGGGACTTTAAAATTTACCCAGAATGCCCAAAAACCAATCAGTTCTTGACGTTGATATGTAGAAACATCCCTGAAAATTTCAGATGAATCCCTCAAATGGTTTGGCTGAAAATCTGTAGACAAGTCTTGAAAGTGAAGATTTTAGGACAGAAAATCCAAAATGGCCACCTTAAAATTTAACCAGAATGCCCAAAAACTAATCAGTTCTTGACGTTGATATGTAGAAACATCCCTGAAAATTTCAGATGAATCCCTCAAATGGTTTGGCTGAAAATCTGTAGACAAGTCTTGAAAGTGAAGATTTTAGGACAGAAAATCCAAAATGGCCACCTTAAAATTTAACTAGAATGCCCAAAAACTAATCAGTTCTTGACGTTGATATGTAGAAACATCCCTGTAAATTTCAGATGAATCCCTCAAAAGGTTTGGCTGGAAACCTGTAGACAAGTCTTGAAAGTAAAGATTTTAGGACGGAAAATCCAAAATGGCCACCTTAAAATTTACCCAGAATGCCAAAAACTAATCAGTTCTTGACGTTGATATGTAGAAACATCCCTGAAAATTTCAGATGAATCCCTCAAATGGTTTGGCTGAAAACCTGTAGACAAGTCTTAAAAGTGAAGATTTTAGGACGGAAAATCCAAAATGGCCACCTTAAAATTTACCCAGAATGTCCAAAAACTAATCAGTTCTTGACTTTGATATGTAGAAACATCCCCGAATATTTCAGACGAATCCCTCAAATGGTTTGGCTGGAAACCTGTAGACAAGCTGAAAAGTGAGACGCCGCCCGCCGCCCGCCCGTCAAGCTGACTACAATATCGTACCTCTTGTTAGGTTCGATAAAAAGTAACACAGCACATTGTCAAATGGAAATAAAGCTAGGGGAAGTAACAAATATGCAAATTAATTAACCCAATCAGCCATTTTGAATGGCACTTCCTATGTAAACAAATAATTTTCAATCCCAAGTTTTAACATATGTGGGCTATAGTCTGAATATTTTCATTCCAAATTTCAAAAAATATCCAAATTTCAAAAAATATCAGACTAGAGAACTCAAGACCACCGTCACAAAAAGTCAAATATGTGAAATGAACCGAATCATTTCGTCATACTTTTTGTAAAATTGTATACCACCATATGCAGACAGAGCCTGTGGGAAATATTGGGTGCGGCGCAAATGAGCGGAGGGTGCGGAGCTAACGGTCATTTTTGAATTTAAAATTGGGATATTTCTGAAACTAAGCCGTTTTGGGACTTCAAATATACCAAGATATGTGTATTTGACACCAAGATATGTGTATTTGACACCAAATATCAATAAAATTGTGAAAATAGTAGTGCAATTCATTTTATAGCGACGCAGTATGCCTTAAACATTTCCCAGACCTATATATTTTGAGACTATCCTTTTAATACTGCGTCCCCAGCATTCATAAAAAATGGTGTTCAAGATACACTACCCATGCAAATTATTTTTGCATCTTGGAAGCCAGGCAGTATCTGTGTGATTTTATAAAAATTCGGAAATGTTCTTCAGATATGAGCCCCCTCTAAATATTGGGTGCGGAGGTACGTTTATGGAGCTCCTCCTTAGAGGGGGCTCATATCTGAAAAACATTTCCGAATTTTTATAAAATCACACAGATACTGCCTGGCTTCCAAGATGCAAAAATAATTTGTATAGATAGTGTACCTTGAACACCATTTTTTATGAATGCTGGGGACTCAGTATTAAAAGGATAATTTCAAAATATATAGGTCTGGGAAAGGTTTAAGGCACACTGCGTCGCTATAGAATGAATTGCGCTACTATTTTCACAATTGTATTGATATTTGGTGTCAAATACACATATCTTGGTATATTTGAAGTCCCAAAACGGCTTAGTTTCAGAAATATCCCAAATTTAAATTCAAAAATGACCGTTAGCTCCGCACCCTCCGCTCATTTGCTCCGCACCCAATATTTCCCACAGGCTCTGTCTGCATAGGGTGTATACACACAAAATAAACAAAATAAAATATAAAATTTGTACATTTTCACAAGTGATTGCACCTGAGACTAACATAAAATTAGTCTCAGATTGCACTGATAAATCTTGATTTCAATCAACCATCATCCCAATTTTAGATTTAGATTTTTTGTTTCTACCTTTTCACTAGCGCCCTCTGTGGAGTTATCCCATATAGCTTTTGGAATCTCAATAAATCTCGTTTTTCGTGAGATTTTAAGAGATTTGCATATTAGACCTCTTATGACTTACTTTGCCTTCTTTTAAATGGCATATTTATATTCAGTGAAATGTTTTCTACAAGAATAACCTTGATTTATGCAGTTATGTTATTTAAATAATTTTCCATGACTTTTTGAAAAAATTTCATTGATGTAATGTTTAAATTCTCTAAAAACCTTGGTTTATTAGTTTAACAACCCAAATTTTGACGATAAATCACAATAAGTATATTTAATAGGGCCATTACATGATATATCAGTCAAGTTTTAAACAGATTCAACCAACACTTTTTGATAAATCATGAAATAAAGTCACTTTTCGGAGATCTTAATATGGTGTATGGAAGTCAATGGAAATCTGGCCCAAGAAGAATTCTGAAATTTTCAGCTATTTATAGCTATCGAACAATTTGAACAGAGTGCATCCGGGTATTTTGGATTTATTTTAGGTATGTGTAAATAATGCGAATGACATTACGGACTTTTTTCGATCAGGTGTGTGGTTCGCGAGCACGGATCTCTGTGCGCGAGTGGAGAAATGTGTTCGGGAGCGAGGAAATGGTGGTGCGCAAAATATGCATTTTGGCCTTTTTGAATGTTCATTTAGTGGACCAGGGTGCACCAGTATTTAAAGCCATTCCAAACGAAATAAGTTTTTAATGAGGCCAAGAAGTAGAAAATATTTGCTTAATTAGAATATTATTAGAAATAAGTGAGTATTGATTCACAACTTATTACCTTAATCTTTTGAATACATGTGTTTAATGGAGAGTAAATGTATGTAAATCCCATTGACTAACTGAATTAGCCTAATTTTTCTATGTTACACGTAACTCTCTTCATCGCTCTAACGTATGAGTATTACTCTAAATATCTGTACTACCCCTTTTCTATCTGCATCACCTTTGACTATATTTGTAATCTCTACCTATCTGTATTACTCTTATAGATATCTGTGTTACCCTTGACTGACCTGATTAGTCTTATTTTTCTGTACCACTAAACTACCTTCTGTTACCCGTTACTCCTAAATGTTTGCATTACCTTAACTATCTACAACATCCTTCACCATCTGTGTTACCCTTAAATATCTGTAAATAATTTTTCATTTCATTTTTTTTTACCTTATAAAAATGTACATTTATAATATTATTTAAATGTTTGTTACTGTATTAAAATTTCCTTAAGTGTACACCGGACGAAACAAATCCAGTCAATATCCCCACTCCCGGGCTTATGATCCCAACTCCTGGGACAAAATTCTCTGTCAGATTCCTACAATACAATTCCTGGCAATACTGCGAATCAAACTCCCTACCCTCCCCGCGTGGAGGGGGGGGGTCTCACGCAAACTTTTGAATGGTGCATTAATAAGAAGTGTTTTGTGGGGAAATATAACTATAGTAGTTAGCTTTGTAGTTGAAATAACAAAATAGTTGTTATATCGGCTAAATGCAAGCTAATTAAAGATTCCAACTGCCAGTTTTTTTACATCTTTAAAAGTCATGAACGCTATGAAAATGAATAATTAAAACATAATTTCAAACTTTGCAGAGACCTTTGAGGATGGTATGTGTACCTGTATCATTATGATATTGACTACTAGTATTTATAATATCAACTTTTTTTTGTAGGTATATACACTGGTTCAATGTTTGATGACATCGATTTAAAAAAGCATGGCTTTCCTGGCGAGGGACGAACAGATGGACACGTAGTTGTTATTAAAACACACGACGTGTCTACCTTCGAATATTATCAACGCGTCATAATCATAATTCGTAACCCATTCGACGCTTTTTTAGCAGACTTTAAACGGCTAATGAATAAAGAGGAGCACGTAGGAGAAATCACAGAGGACGAATTTAAAGAAAAGAATATGATAACTCCTTTTAGCAAGTTTATGGCCACAGGCCTATATTCTGCAAATCGAATTGACGATTGGTTTCTGGGATTACTTCTTGCATTAAAAGCATTTAGCACTAAAAACACGTCATTAATTCTACATTACGAGAATCTTAAAACAAATTTAAGACATGAGCTTCTAAGAATTGGTGATTTTCTTGGATTCAGCATATCAGCAGATATTATTCAATGCACGATTTGTAACTCTGAAGGCAATTACCATAGAAAATCAAAGGGATTTTTTAATCCATATTCGAAACAAGAAACAATCGAGATTTCATCATATATTAAAGCTCTTAATGAAACATTTAAAGAAAGGTGTGGTCGTTCGTGTGCTTTTCCATACTCCACTCCTAGTCTGACTGAGTTACTTTAAGAAGTCCGTTCAGAGTAGATATAATGAAGGTATGAAATTGATCACAGATTAAACAACCGTATTTAAATGAGATTCTAAAGTTGACAAAATATGAAACAACACGTTTCATGTAAAAAGCTGAGACCCAGAAATGCAGTTATAAAAGGTTACCTGTATTTTACAAGTGGGGGTCTTGTACAGGTGGGGCTCTTGTACAGGATGGCCAGAAAGAAATATTATCTACCTTAATTGTTCAATAAATTTTACTCCAGTTTTTAGGCACTACCACTAGTTCTAGTTACTCATCCCCTGGACGGATGGGGTATATTTGAAGCAACCCCAACCTCTTTGTAGGACCCCATACTCCCATTGCCTTATTTCATAGAAAAAACTACCTAAAAGTTAGGTAATCAATAAATACCAGATCTCTAAATGCCAAACTCTGACGCGAATTCTATAAAAACCAGATTAATATGCAGAAAGGCCGGTGTAAAAGAAATTATTGTCCCCTGGGGATTATGATCCCTTTCCTTACGGCCCTTACTGGCCCTGACTTTGAATAAATAATAAGGAAAATAATTGTAATTAGGTCACCATATAAATTAACAGCGAGTAGGACCAAAATTTGATAGGACCACCTACCCTTTTAAACCGGATTTTTCCAGTAAGGGACCTGTCAAATTAATTATTGGTCTGTCTTTAATTGGGAAAAGTAGTATTTTTTCTAATGTAAAGTATTATGCGCGATACACTCTATGTAAAAATAACCCATAACATGGGTGTAGCCAGTTGGGTCCCCCCACAAAAAAGAACAATTTCTGAAAAGGAGTGGTATCGATATGGAGAACTTTTTGAACACACGTTTCTCTTAAACCAGTCATAAAAAATCTAAAAGTTTTACACATCGTCAATTTAATGGTCATCTTTTGAATGGTAACAGTATAATTTGAAAAATATATAAATACTTTCATCTATATTGTTTTAGAAAACACATCAAACACTTGTTTTGTTCTTGGTATCATGTTTCCAGAATGAAATGAAACATCTTTCCGAACCTCATTGGAACAAAACGACATAAACACATGTTAACAATAATAATTTGTGTAATTGTACAAAGGAAATTTTGGTTGATTTTAAAAAAGTATCTTGTTAATCGAAATAAAAGGTTTATCTTGATTTTTATCTATTTTGGGGGATTTTGTTTTAATTGTTTGAATACTTCTTTTAAATCAACCAAAAATGCCTTTGTATAACTATGACATTGAGAGGTCTAAAAACAAAAGGTTTAAACAAAAAGTCTCCAAATGTTTGGAAACAATTGTAACAGTTACATTCCTACTATTGGAAACAATAGTAGTTGGTACACTACCTCTAAAAAGTTGAACGCAGCATGTTTTATATGATACACCGCATAATCTTCAAATTTACACTCCCCTCCAATAGCCTATAAATCTTCAAATTTTTGAATGTTGGAAGTTATGCATTAATTTGAGAGAGAATATCGTATTTTTGGTCACACATGAATTTCAATTGCAGTCAGTCAGTTCATTTTCACATACTAGTACGCGTGCATCGACGTGTTATTAGGCTACAATGACAAGTATATTGCAACAAACAAGATAAACATGTATTTCATACCTACTGAGGTTCTAGGTACATAACGAGCGGGAATATATACTGTATCTAGCCAAGGCCCGGGGCGGGATGGATACACGCTGTATCCATCCCGGTCCCGCTCCTGAAATATTTTTTCAAAATTTTTTTTTTCAAACTTTTTTTTTCAAACTTTTTTTTTAAAAATTTTTCCCCATTTTTTCCAAAACTTTTTTCACATTCTTTTTCAAATTTTTTTTCACTTTTTTCAATTTTTTTTTCAAATTTTATTTTTCAATATTTGGATAAGGTATATGACGTACCTAGAACATCAGTAGGTATGAAATACATCTGTTATGTACGTTCGGTTTTGGATACAGGGTTTATCCCTCGGGAAATATGTGTATATCCCTCGGTCCCTGCGGTCCCTCGGGATATACACATATTTCCCTTGGGATAAAACCTGTATCCAAAACCTCCCAGTACATAACCCTTATGTACATGATAGAATATCTTATTTCTTTATTGTATTATCCCACCGAACGAAATTCGAGGGGGATATAAAGAAGCCGTCCGTCCGTTCGTCCATCCGTCCGTTCGTCCATCCGTCTGTCCTTCCGTCCATGTGCCTGATGATAACTCAAATACCAGTTGACGGTTTTGATTCAAACTATATAAGCGTATGCCTTATGGGTGTAGGATCTCTTGTCGAGATGGAATTTTCAAAATGGCCACCATTTTTCATAAGTTTTTTTTATCATTGATAACTCATATACCAGAGGACGGATTTAGTTCCAATTGTATCTGCTAATGCCTAGAGATAAAAGAGCTCTGCTCAAGAAGACATTTTCAAGATGACTACCAAATTTCAAAATGGATGCCATTTGGCCACTGATATAGGATACGTGATAAGAAACGTGCGCATTATCCCATACTTGGATTTGTTACAGGTACATAAAGCCGGTTTGTAAAAACTTATATTTTCATCAACGAGCAGATATAGAGATTATCCTATATGAGGTTCAGGATATTAGGGTAGATATATTATATTGGCCAAGGGATAATCCCAATATCCTGAACCGATGTGAACCAAATGACCAAGATTGGTATGGACCTACGGCCCTCGGGCAGATATTATATTTGCATCCTGATAATCCCAATATCCCGAACCTAAATAGGATAATCAGTTTATTTCAAACCTCATCAGGTATGCACCTCATACAGTTATGCACGGTCGGTTTTAATACAGGAAATATCCCTTGGGATATACAATATATGTTCCCTTGGTCCCCTCGTGCCCTAGGGAAGATTATATTGTTTAACCCTCTAGACATTCCCTGTATCCAAAACCTCCCAGTGCATAACATGCATAACCCGTGTATGTATTTCGCACTGGACGAAAATACAAAAGTCTGTCGCCAAGTAGGTCCTGAATTTGTATTTTACATTAGAAACTGCTCTGCCAAGCCGGACAAAAACTTTACCTTCAGAGTTATGCTGAAAACATGTAAATATTATAATTTCACTATATAGTGCCATTAAAAAATTAAAAAAGAAATGGTACATTTTAGAATTTTCAATAGCTTTTACTCCTAGCGTTATTTGACTTCAAACCAAAGTGAAGGTTATCCGCAAATGATATACCCATTGCTTCGAGTAGTTAATTCCTTTGGTATAACGAAACATAAATATGAGTCAAGCATATTGTTTGAAGTTTTCTTAGTGTTTTTATGAAAAATAGCATGCTCCCCCAAGCCGGACAAATTTCGACAACCAGTGTTATAAGGGGGTCTGATTAACCAAATCAAGCACTTTGAACTGATTTCACCTCAAGACCAAAGTACACAGTGTGGTATAGTTAAAATTTATGTTATTTTTGAATTAAAAGATACCATCTCCCTATTTACATGACATGCCTTATGGCGAAATATTTATGTAAGTGGTCAATCATGGTCACTGACCATGACAGACCATCAGGCTTATGTTTAAATCAGTTTTTAGGCCCAACTTCTAAAAGATGAACATGCTCTTACAATTTCTCTTGATAATAAAATAAAGTATTTGAATAAAACAAAATATAAAATAGTCAGTCGTTTAATATAAGGGAAGTAAGAAACCCTTTATAACAACAGTGACATTTTCGATATACAAGATACATAATATGGTTGATTGTACATAAAATTAATTCTATAACTATGTTTCTGTTTATTTATATCTTTGTAATCAAAATGATCAAAGGAAATGAGAAAAAACAACATTTTCCAACCGATCAATTTTTGTAGGTAGATTTACTACGAAAAAATCGAGCACTGCTAGAAAATCTTTCAACATTTATCAGAAAGCTAAAAGTCTTTTTCCAAGCGAATACAAACAAAATTAAACATGAAATCCTTGATGTACTCCCCAGATTAATATTTTAAAACCTACATCAAACCTACATCATAGTTGTCGCTTCAAATCAGTTAATAGTGACACGGTTCATCTAAAGTGTACGACGGTATATTTTGTCACTGTACGTTGTCGATGGTTAGGCGTGTCAAAATCGCCTTATGTATGCAACACGACCTATACCTCCCTCCGTTACCTTGGCAACCGGACGTTTTTATTGAATTGCATATATATTCAAGCCTGTCAATGTTTGAATCTTAATTTTGCTTCTAAATTATAATTCCGAAACTTACAAATTTATTTATGTTTTTAAAATCACCAAACATTGGACCAAAGGGTATACAGGGTTCAATAAGTGATCCAAAATGGTACTTCCTGATTCCTGGAGGGGAGTGTACAAATACAGAACCAATATGACATTTCGACCCACACTGTACCTACTCTGTTGCGTAAGAGATACGAGCATGGCCCCTGTCGTGACAGAATGGGTCATGAAATAGAAATTGGGTCAGTACCGATCATGGGAAATTTTCTATATAAACAGGTATTTTGAATCCCCAGTTTTGACTGGTAAATGTTATCGTTGTTAATTAAAGCATTTGTTTTATTTCACATCACATCACATTTCAGATATTACGTGACTTTTATATAAAGTTAAAAAAACAGTGCAAAGCAAACGGAAATACAGGTAACCTTTTCAAATTGTTTTTATTCTTTCTTGAGTTTTTCTCTATAGGCCAATCACTGGTCAGTCATTTACTATATAATGTTTAAACTCATAAAAGCTAAAAAGCATTCTTGATTTGGCTTTGCTTGTTTACAACAAAATCTGAAAAAGGGGCGCCATTTAGGAGCTGAGGGGAGCGGAAACTCCTCCCTGGCCAGAATTACTTTCAAAATCATACAGTTTTTCACCATTCTGAGCACTTTTCGCATGATTTTTTTTACCAAAACTGTCAAAAAGCTCCCCCCCTTGGTATAAAAGCTGGCTATGGGGACCCATTGGACATTACAATCACTCAATTTATACATGGGACTAATCCTGTGTATTATTATGGACGTATCTGCTTTGAAGGGCTTTGTCCTATCTACAACGTATTTGCATCCCATGTATCCTTAGAATGAAACTGATATTGCTGCTACTGGTAATATGTGTAATTGGTTGCTATGGGCAGTATTGCATGCCGGGAGAGGTGTGTTGGCCATGTGGTAACGACATTATAGCATTCAGGGATTCATTGGACGGCAATTTCTACAATTTCTGGAATGATGGCTATGACGATGCGTCCTTTGTGAAAAACTGGGATTATATCACCAAACCGGCCTTTGTTGTACGAGCCAACACAACGGGTAACTATCGACCTGAGCAAGAATAAGTCTTCGCTCACAAGTCAAAACATCGTCCAAGTCTTACACTCCCCTTTAAAAGTTTTGGCATCCACAATTCTTCAGTTCTTCAGTTAGGCTACACAGTGGCATTGGTACCATACCGTGGAATTGCTGTCGTTTTTTCCATCGAATCACATATTAATGCCTGTTTAGCAGTTATTGTTTTCCTCAGTTACATTATTTCTTAAAATTGATGATTTTTACTAAATAACCAAACACAAACAGGCTCTAACAAGTGGTTTAATAAAAGAAGCTGGTATTGCCAAACTTTTAGAGGGGAGTGTGGGCTAATATGAATAAGCACCTTTAGAAATGTAGGCAGTTCAATTATCATCAGATCAAATGACAATAGGCTTGTGAATATTTTTTCCATTGTCATTTTTGCTGGGACGCCAGACATTTTCTTTACGGTACGTGCTCGCCTTTGTGTTGATTCAAAATCTTGGCGCTTTGTTGAGATAATTGATAAAAATCCCGAATGAAACTTCTATTTAGTGTATGATATCCACTCTGAAATGAAACGTACAGATTAACACACTTTACAGCCATTCTCATAATACCAAGAAACACTTCTTTCTTGATACAAAAGACTGCATATCCATTCATAAGATGTGCTGAAGAGCGGAATGCTTTATATCCCCAACAGGAAATTCTATATTTATTTGTAATTTCCAGCCGACATCCAAAAGAGCATTTTGTTTGCAAGACGGTTCCACATCCGCATGTCGTTCTTGTCTTCCGGTCACGATTATATTGGAAGAAGTACTGCTCTGGGGTCGTTGATGGTGAGGATGGACAATCTAAGAGAGATCACGATATTTCCCGAGGATTCGACTTCCCCAAGTGGAGCCTCTATGATCGCACAGACTGGAATCAACTGGGGATCACTTTATGAACAGGTTCCACTATCTTTTCAATCTACAATGTTTTTTATCAAGTTTGTCATGGTTGTTCATGACTTTCGTATTTGTGAAGGTTCAAACTGTTCTGGGTTACCCAAATGTTCGGACTGCTGCGCAACTATTCTGACAACACAAGTTTTCCTAGTTATTTTATTAGCTGAAAATTCACAAGGGTGGTGGGTTCCAAAAATATTTTGCGGGAAAAAGTGTTTGCCTATGAAAATATTTAATGATTAAAGATTGATTCGTATGGGTTGATGGCGGTTGGCGGAAGTTCCCATGGAGTGGCTATGGGCGGATGGTTTATGGGAGGAGGACACAGCCCAATAACCAGGAGTTACGGACTGGGTGTTGATAACATCCTCTCGTACAGAGTTGTTTTGGTTGATGGTCGCATTGCCAATGTTTCTGCTGCAGGTATGAAGTGTCAATAAATTCCATCATTGTAGTCAGGCATGAGACGGGAGAGGCCCTTTGCCTCAACAAAATTCTACAAAAGTATATTTATTCAGCCGTTTTTTCAAATTGAACCGTGGCTACAGTCCTGCCCCTCGAATAAGCGGTCCACTTGGCCTAAAACACAATAATACTTTACATCACCTGTCACGTCAACAAATTAACGAGGAGCACACTTAGCTCCTAAGTATTTTTACTTTTATGAGATATGTAGTAAGCTGGGTGCCTAAAGGGAAACCTCTAGAGCATCGCAAAAAACGGCAAGAAAAAGAAACACTCAAGAGCACAATTAATTTAATTACTACGACTTGTTTTTAGGGAAGCAAATCTCCAACAGTGACATTGTCTTCGACAACTCTTCCCCACAATCACCTAGACAAGTCACTACTAAGTCAAGCTTCGGTAATGTCCTTTTTTCTAGGTATTCGTTTTGAGGATGACACAATCGATCCGGATACTGATCTCTGGTGGGCGCTGAGGGGTGGTGCTGGGGGGACGTTCGCAATCGCCACACACTTCCATTTCCAGCTTCACAGACAACCTTCTCAGTTCGTCAGCTTTGGGTTGGCTTTCCCCCTGTACCATCCTTCAGACGGCACGTTCATAGGGGAACAGGTTATGGACTTTTGGCACAACTACCTTGCGACTAATTTGTCCAATACGTGGGGAGGTTATATATTTTATCACAACCAGGACTTCTCGGAGGATTATAATCAAATCGTAAGGGGGAGAATCCTGTTTGCTCTGTTACATGCGGGACCTTATGAGCAAGCTGAAAAGACGATCAACGATCTGTTAGCGTTCCATCCTGAATGGCGACTGCCGGGAAACTGGGTCAGGAACTACACTACGTTTTGGGGTTACTCCGAGTCTAACGCAGACGATTTGAATGGCCCCACGTATATCGTGAATAGGTTTGTCCAACCTGCTGACCTCGTTGGCCCTGGGATCACTCCACTAACAAGAGCATTTAAGAATTATTACGCCCAAGACGAACAGCCCTTGGAGAGAATCATAACCTGCACTCATTGTCTCGTTGGTGGTAAGTGTTCAGTTTATCAAATATCACTGTGAATATTTGTACCTTGGAAGATGCTGAAAGAATAGTGAATATTGCATTGAAATGTCGAAATGATTAAACTTACGTCCGAGTATTGCAATAGTGACAGCCTTCCTTTAATTAGAAGTGTTTCACAAAATAACAGTTACGTTTTCACGTTTCTCAATTTTAATATTCCGTTTTCCACTGTGTTTCTAGAGAAAAGTACTGAAATAGGAACAGCGGATACTGCTGTACATCCTGGATTCCGCTCTGCCTTGATTTCCCTAACTTGTGGATGGGGCTGGCTTTTGCCAGACGGTCGGGAGAATGTATATGGCTACATGAAGAATTTCACGCAAGAACTCTACCAGATCGGTGAAGGTGTCTATGTTAATGAACCCGATCACGACCTTGTAAATTGGAAGACAGATTACTGGGGGAGCAACTATGCACGCTTGCTTGAAATCAAACAGAAATATGACCCAGAACGATTTTTTACTTGTTTGAACTGCGTTGGCTCTGATTTGCCGTATACAGGACGCCCTGGTCCAAACATACACGACGATTGTGATGTTTCGTAAAACATACACGACGATCGTGATGTTTAGTAAAATCACTGAGAGGAATCAAATTTTATGTACAGCTATGGAAAGCAAGTCAAATAAATTATCATGATACATTATGGAATATTTTAATCATACTCATGATATTTGAAATCGTTTGTTATTGCTGTGTGTTGATAATATCATACACTCATCTCCGATTTTTTTGTAACTTTAGCTACCCCGGCCGGTGTTAGCGTTTTATCATCCTGTTAGCGATTGATCAAACTATAATAAAAAAAATCATACATTTAGAGGAATTCATGATCAATATATTGTTCTTTTATGAGGTTTAAAGTTTTGACATTTTCAGAAAGAGGGGTTGTAGCCTACCATTCTGATTTATCAGAGTTTCTATTTATCTATTAAAGCATTCCAAGGGATGGTGAAGACTGTGGATCCCACAATGGGGTTGTGCCAAATTCTATATTGACGGTGCAAATAACATTATAAATTAAAATTTTGAGTTTACCTGAAATTCATAGCTTTTGGTCAAAAAAATATTTGTTTTCGAATGTCTACGAGACTTTTGGTTCCAAAAACTATAAAAATGGATATTTATACATTTATGTGTTCAAATTTCTATAAAGGGGAACGTAGGTTATCCCAAACAATTTCAGACTATTCTAACTTGAATTGTGAATACTTTCTGATCATGAACACAGGTGTATCTTTTGGACCCAATATCTTCAAGAATAATATACATAATGATAGTTAAATCAGACTAAGTGATATTAAAGGGGCAATTGACCAATCATCATTTTTCAAAAATGTTGACCTAATTTTCACTAAAAATGCAACATTTTCTCATAGTCTTGAATTAAATGCATAATTAGAATGTGCTTTGAGACATGCTCTATTTCCTAAAAGGAAATTGGATTCCACCAGGGACTTTAAAGACGCTGAATTTGGATGACCAAAATGAGCTGAAACCGATGGGTAGTATGAGTTTTTTCAAGGGAAAAATAACATGGAGAACACTAATCTTAAGAGGAATTCAGTTTTACTTTCAAGCACTAATGGATACATTAAAATGAAGTAGTGCATTGAACATTGTAAAAAGTGATTGTATTTTGGTGAAAATGAGGTCTATGACCCTCGAGTCCGATTGACTTTTTTTTATTATCATTGTATACACTTTTCTTTGAGATAATGAATGGATCTAAAATATATACCTGTCTCATGGTAAGGACATAGCCATAATCCAAGATATAACCGTCTGAAATTGATCTTCACAAGACTAAGTTTTTGTTTAATTCGTATTTCAAGACGTTATGGGAAACAACGTTTTGTTAATTGTTTTAATTTGTTAAGATTTGGCCGGAAGACCTGCCTCGACAAAATGTTGATCCTGGCTACGCCAAGAGGGGGGGGGGGGACTACCCAAGGGTTCAGAGACGACCATATTTTTGTGGCTGATTGGTCCATCTAGGAGTTCACTGTGTACGAAATTTGGCGAGGGGTCTAGGCTGAACCCTCAGATCCATACCAATTTGTCAAATTTCGATGTGTTCCCCTACCAACCAATATAACGCCCAAAAGCCATACCAACGCAACTGTTCAAATATAAGACCAATGTCATACCAAATGTTCTGATACTCTGCAGACCATCTCAGAATCAAGAAGGAAACGGATAGACGGGTAGGAGGCTGTGATATCCCACGATGGACTTTCTATATAACCATAGTCTAAAGGGCGGTAGAAAAAATATTTTGATACTGAAAGAGGACAAGCCAATTAATCTCTGAGAGAAAAAAGATTCTATCGCTGCTGCCACCTTTATATTGGCCCGAAACCTATGCTCAGCCAATAACTTTATGGAAGAAAGTAACATTTGTACCGCTTTGTGATTAATGTGAATATTTGTGCGCAGGTGCCAAATGGAAAGTATCAAAAAGGCAAAACAGAGCAAGAAAAGAAAACCTTAGGCCTAATGAGATCGCCAGTCATAAAAACAACCCCAACAATCTAAATTCATATGTTTACATGTCTCTGTTACAATATACTGAAGTCATTAAAACTGAAAACGCTATCAAAGCAAGTATACACGATTTATTAAGAATATTATCCATGAATTCCTAACACTTTCACTTTCTAATATTATCACATGACTGTCATGTGACTAATAAATCTGACGAGACATCGCGAGACTTCAACCGCCAATTTCAAAACTGGAATCAACAAACGTGCACGGAATGAAATTCCTTTGATGAATAAAGACTAATCCAGCCGTTAAATCACATTAAAGATGGATCCGTTTACACAGGTATGTCATCTTCACAAATAGATACCATTTTTACAACGTTATATCTCCTATATTCCAAGAAAATCGATGTCGAAATGGAAGTACGTTATTTTTCAAATATTTTTTTTCAAAAGCTTGAAAATAAAAACAGTTCACCAGATTTGCTTATAAGAAGCTGAATTTACAGTTCTGGAATAGTAAAGATAGTATTATAATACTTATAGACTTTTTCTCTTAAGTAGATCTCTGAGGAAACGCCCTTGGTAGATCTCTGAATTACTTATATGAGAATGACAGAGCCTGGGGGACAGAGAAGCATTGTCGACCATGTAGGTTTACTAAACACACCTGGCTTTGAGCCAGCTGATGGAACGTTCAAATATACCGTCTTGTGAAGTGGTTTTCTCCAACTTCCAGCAGGCGCGCTGGAATATTAAAGTAACAGTATTTAAGAAGATAATTGAATGTAACTTGCCCTTTTCATGACGCGTGGTGACAATAAGTCCTACTTGTTGTGTAATTTGCAGTTAAAGTGGAGAAATTCAGACCTGGTGCGCACCTTTTTTTAACCTTTTGCGCATGCGTGCACATGCGCATTGTACTTTACAACTAGGAGGCCCGTGGCCTTAGAAGTTTTGAAATAAACATTATTATTACATTATTACTTTACATGCACATGTTTTACTTTCGAAAGTATGAGATCTCGCGAGACCTAAAATGGCTGCAATCTAAATTCAAAAGTTTTGTTGTCTAATAGAACATTGATTTACTACAACAACAGACTGTTGAAGGAACAAAATAAGGTAACAACAAATAAATTATGTATTGATTCAAGTATATAGCGTATTATAAACGCCTCTGAGCACAGTATTTAGTCAAAATAGGCTCAAATTCTTCTCTTCAAGAATTTTCAATCCAGCCTCCCAGAGCTGACTTCTGTCAGCTCGGTAGAGTAAATGTAGGTAATTGCCTGTCAAAAGAACTTGGGTTCGCCTGATTAACTACATGACATTGCCTCCCCGTCCTCTAGTTATTGTTGAATATTGAAATGGAAACAACATTATCCTCAATAGTTTCATCTGTGATAACATTTTGTGTCTGTCATTTTAAAAACAAGTCTATAGTGAACTGTAGTTTTCTTGGGGAAATTGTCTCCAATTGTTAGATAAAGATACAAAGGTATATTTGAAAACAACTGATGAATACTTTTGTCATTATATCCATGGTTACAACAATTGATTACGATTTCGTAACTTTACGAAGTTTCTGTTAATGACCCCCAGGTTAAAAGCCTGTACATGTTACGCTTTGGAGATGAAGGAGATCTCAAAATTGCCACTCTTTTGTCTGATTGGTTGTTAGGAGTAGTTTACATACAGTGAATTTTATCAGAGGCTTTTCACTTGTACTTGTTCTATGGAGGGTTAATGTTTAATTTATTTTTCAGGTTTACATCTTAAAATGTCAATGAATTCAGAGAAATGTCAATTTATTTTTTAAAAAATATAAGAAGGAATCAAATTAGGTAAAAACATTAAGGCGGTTTTGTGTTTTCATTATTTTTAACCTGCCTGTAAAAAGGCTCAGCTAAGTCAACCACTGAATTGAACTATCCAAGCAAAATATAGTGACCCTTAGATACCATATAATCCCATTATATATGAAAGTCCCTGTGTAATTAAAAATAGACATCCTACGTGTGTAAGTTATAATCCTACAAATCGTATAATACTCTAATGTAACACAGCCAACTCATGAGGAAGACTTAATAGCAGGTTGCATTGTGTTTTGTGGTAGTTTAATGATGTGAGTAATCTGTGTAATTGATATATAACAGACTTAATATGAAACACTTGAGGTTAGAATTTGGAATGTTAGGCAGTTACAGTTTGAATCAATCAAGATATATTTTTGGCGGTTATTCTTTCATTTAGAAAATATCTGGAAAAAGAAATGAATATTTAGATATTTGAGCAAAGTTGTGATATAAGCAATATACATAAAGAGATCAAGTCTCCTAAAAATGCTATTAGAGTAACCCAGTAATTTTTTCGTGTAATTTGATGTAAAACAAGTTTGTTTATTAACTTACCAACGCTGGTGCTTGAATTAATTTGTTAACAGTATAATTCAATTTGATGATTGTTCCTGGCCATGAATTTCCACTTACATCAGGAGAAATTTAAAAAGCCCGCTCAAATCTGCTCCAGTCTGATTGGCCTTTTTCTTCAGTTGCAACAAAGAGGCCCCAGAGCTTAAGAGTGAACAGATATAATTACGTCTCTTGCGTACCATTCTATTTGGGCAACTTTTCACCAGTTAGTTTTCGGAAAATAAAACATTGTTGTGATGTTTTAATCGTTGTAAGCATATCCGTTACACCTTTCTTTATCTTGATCCAAAATAACAAGCTACGATATTAATCAAACAACAGAAATTAACATATATTATTCAAAGCGTGTTTCAAAAATTTTAAAACCGCAATTGTTTGTCTGTCGATTTGACCAATCAGGACGATATGTCTTCTCAATACAGATTAACATGTTAGACATATGTCTTCTTTGAACCCTAGGGTTATTCCCCCTGGTTGCAACAGTTTGTTTTGACTCAGAGAAGCCATATTTATTACTCATAAGGGGTTAAAATATAGATAAATCCCCCAAAAAGATTGTTTAGACTTATTGCGTTCAATTCTGACAGTTGGTTGTTCTGTTGGTTGTCCTGTTGATTTCCTAATATATTGGTGATACAGAACTGATAAAAGAATAAACAGTTCACAGAAAGTATAGAAATGGCAGTTTATTTGAAATCAGTAACACTTACATTTTATAGGGCTGTATTTGATTGACCTTACATATAGATGTAGGTTTATATTTGTGGTCTATGGCTATAGCTCTAGTCTGACATGTATATAAATACCATACTGATTGTGGTATAGAGTTCGTTGGAATAACTGCCAGTTTCAAATTTGGAGGGATTTTGTCTGCAATTCTTTGAAACATAGCACTTAAAAAATGTTCTTGTTTATGTTAGATCCAGATTAAGTGCTATAAATGAATTAATCTTCAACTTATGTAATAAAATATTTAACGGTTATACCAAATGTACTTTTATTGTGTTCAATTCTGACAGTTGGTTAATAACTCACTCTAAAAATTCATCTGCAGGCTAGCCACCTAGATAAATAATATCATATCAGATTTTTTCACAGTGAGGATGACCTACCCTTCGCATTATTTTACCTTAGCTTTTTAAAAGATAGATTTATCTTTATAACTAACATCTATGGTCAGGATAGTGGTGACCCACATATATCATGTACCATAAACTTTGTTCATTTGGCCTGAAAGCAAATTCCTTGAATAACTTCTCAATAAAAGTAAAAAGTGAAATGTCATTATAATTAGATAATTTGGTGATGTATTGACTTGCAAAGATTTTTGATTTTAGACTATATTTGGGAAACTAAAAAAATTCAAAATAATTACACTGCATGAGTTAACTTTTTAACGACCAACATTCACAACTTATGTTCAAGGGAGGTCTGTCTTATTCCATGTTGCAGATGTTTTTTTTAGTTTAGTTTCCTAATGCCAAGATTTGAAAAAAGTTATTAATAAAGTTTTAACGGTTACTTGTCAGTATGCCAAAACTACCTGTCATAAGACCATATAGTACAAGCCAGTGATTTATGACAAGTACATCTCCATTCTCCACATGTATAGTCGTATTAGTCCAGTATAAAAGTATTATTTTTTATTTATACCTCTGCTCCTTACTGAAAGATGGCACAGTTTTAATTTCAGATAATACAAACTTTATGGCAAACCACTTTTTGCATTATTGTTTTTTAATATCTTAACAATTTACATGTACATGTACCACCAATATACATCTATATGTGATACAGTAAAACCTGTGGAACGTCTTTGGTACTTAAAAATAATGTTCCATGTGGGAGGTGTTTCACTTTTATCAGAGGTACATTTTCTGTCAGTGGATACGTTGACTTTAGTATTCTAGTTATTTAGGTGTTCCATTTTGCAAGTTTTACTGTACTGGCTGTTTTTCAAAAGTGTTGTAAATGTTACCAAAAAGATATTTTCTTTTTTTGCAATCTTTCAGCAGAATTTTGGAAATGAGAATCTTGCAGGCACTCAAGTAGTAAGTCTCAGGGTGAACACTGCAAATGAAAATTCTAATTTTCTTTGTCTTCAGAAATTGTTGGAGCGTACACGTGAAAGACGTGAGAAGCTCGCCGAAAAAATGGGAACTGGCAAGAAAGAGGCCCCTGTAATCCAAAGTGAAAACATCACCATGCCAACCACAAAGATGGAGGAAAAGACAATGGACTCCTCACCAAGGGTTGCCCCTCCCCGCAAAAGACGCACACCTCTAAGTGATGACTTAAGCGAGAATATTCAGAATGCAGTCATGGAATCTAGTGTGAAAAATACCGATGATGGTATGTATGGTATGTGCATGTTTTACGCTTTGTAGAAGTAAGTAGTAGAATGCAAAGGTTACATAGATTTACTTTTTGCAGGCTGGCATGTTCTTTGCACCCATTTATATCTTCCAATTTGAACTTTGAAATCCTTAATGTTAAAGCAGCATATGGGACTTTTACAAGACTACCCAAAACTCAGCTATCCTGCAAACATTGAAAAAGCTTGGATCATCTAATGATGATCAGAGTGAACCTTTACATAATATTGTTCATTGTTCAGTTTGCACGTTTTATCTGTATATGAAAAATAAATTGGTATGAGATAGAAAATATAAATCAATATTTTGAAACATGCATGTTTATTTGTCTTGCACACCCAGTGAAATCTGTTGAGTTGAACACCTCCCAAGTGAAACACTTTTTTTAGAGGTTCTGAAGGTGTTCTACTCAGGCAGGTTTTACAGTTTTTTTCTAGTTATCCTTTGCTTGATACCTCTTCCGCATAGTGCTTTAGTTAGTTATGTTGTAGCAGTCACCTTAATCCTGTGCAGTCAACCCATTGCTAACAGCATGTAAAGTAGTCTCTGTTAAGTTTATATATATAACACTTCTCCATGGGAAATAGTCAGGTGTTTGTTTGGAGAGTCATATTACCTCCATGAAGAGAGAGAGTCATACCTCCATGCCCAGTTTTTTTTGGAAGTGATCATGAATTCTGCAACTGAAAAGGCCAATCTGCTGGATTATTGGTGTTACTCATTCATTTGACAAATAGAGATGTGTAATATTGGGAGGTGCGTATCTATATAGACGTTATTTAATGGAGGGATAGAATATGAATTTTATTCTGAGGGATTGGGCAAGGAAAATATCATATTGACCAAGAGAGAAGTTGTTGAAGTTGAAATCTTAAATCTGACTTTAGATTTAAGATTTCAACTTCAACAACCTTCTCAGAGTCAAAAAACTTGCTTCAAATTGACTATTTTTTTAAAAGCATCTACAGAGTTCTCAGAAATTCAAATCTTACTTAACATTGAACTAATAATATTGTGAGCAATTAGGTGGTGACATTTTGTCATGTTAATGTCTTGTTTGTTTTTTATTTGCCATCACCCAAAGGTGACATTAAGTGATCCAATTTGATTTTCCATTTAACATTTACAACTTTTACATAAACAAGTTTTAAAATAGAATGAAAAATGTAAAAGTGAAGAGAAATCTCTGGAAATAGTTCTGATACAGAGTTTTGGCTGATACAGAATCTAATAAGGATCTGATTTGGCTTTTATATTGGCTGTTTATCATTACAAATAACACTAAAAAAATTGAAAACAATTTTGCAGTCCGAAATATATATATGAGATGAATGCAGAAAGAAAACAAAGTTTGACTCCTCATAATTGCCTAAATTAAAGCTCAAATTTTCAGCCTTGAATATTATTTCAGACTCGCCTAAAATAACACAAAGCTCAAGATTTCAGCCTTGTGTATTTTTTCAGAATTGCCTAAAATAACATAAAGCTCAAGTTTTCAGCCTTGTGTATTTTTCAGAATTGTCTAAAAAAACATAAAGCTCAAGTTTTCAGCCTTGTGTATTTTTTCAGAATTGCCTAAAATAACATAAAGCTCAAGTTTTCAGCCTTGTGTATTTTTTCAGAATTGCCTAAAATAACATAAAGCTCAAGTTTTCAGCCTTGTATATTTTTTCAGAATTGCCTAAAAAACATAAAGCTCAAGTTTTCAGCCTTGTGTATTTTTCAGACTCGCCCAACAAGAGAAAGTGTTACAGAGAAACTGAGAACTCGATGAAGCCAGACACTCCAGCCATCCTTGGTGTCAAATCACGCCTAGCTGGACTGGCTGCTCGTCAGAGTGCATGGAATAATGGAGGTATAAGATATGTTTAGTAAAAAACTGAAAACAGGGAACCGAAATTATTTGAATTTCAAATGATGAATTCATATATAAAATCGAATTGATTTGAATATCAGCATTCTGTCTAAGTTTAATCATTATGTCTAATTTTTGTGAAATGAAAACATTCATTTATAGGTCTGTGTGTCAGAGACTGTGTCAGTATCAACGTGTCATTTTTGTATACTTTAAGTAACACCAATTTTTGTATCTAAGATTATTACCTAAATAGGTGATACTATGTTCAATGTAAATATGCATGAGGATAGGGAAGGCTTGGTTTGTCCTTTGTTAAATCTTTTGTACAAAAAACATTTGAAATTCTGATTCCGCCTATAAGTTTCCATATAGTTTCCATATATGAACAGTTTCAGGAGATCAAATGTGAGATAAAGGGGGTGAATGATGATTTGGATGTTAAGAATATTGATTTTTTCAAAGACAGAATCAAATTTTGATAAATAAGGCAGAGGGAGGGGGGTTAAACCATGAGGAATTAAAGTCATCTTTTCACAACTGTTAACATCCGTAAATCATCCTTTACCTTTGATATATTGATGATGATAATGTTTTTGTAGGGAACAAGTGACTCTACTAACACCTGTACCTTGGGCATTTAGGTGTACTCTTTGTTATACATCACCATGTGTTCCCAGGGTTAACCATTCGTTTATACCCAAACTATTGTACACATTAAAATACACCATCTATGTTTAAAGTAAAAGAATCTATGCTTATTAGCTTACACGGTTGATCTGTTGTATTTAAATGTAACATTTGTTTTTATATGTTTCCCTTTTTGTTTTTCTCTCAGTTTTTTAATAATCCCAATGTCCCTCATTACTGTATTTTTTGATTTGGTTGTTCAATTTTAAAGATCACAGGATGTAAAGGGTTAATTATAATTGTAGAGTTGTCAAATTGTCAAAGCAAAAATTGTAGCTATCAGGAATTGAAATTGATACATTGCCACATGACACTCTGTAAAAAAATTGTAGCTGATTGCTACATGATGGATTTAGAAATTAAAACCACTCACTTTTCATTATTTTAATGTCTTTTTGCTGAAAATGGGATTATTAAACATTGACTCAAAAATGGTCGGAGGATTATGATTGTAAAATGAATTTAATTTGGATTATTCTAATGAGAAATAGAATATTATTACAAAGGAATACATTGATTTATTGTTAAAACGAATTTTTATTATTTATTAGTGTGTTGACATTTTGACAATCAGGAATACCATGGTTACCATGAAAACACTTTCAATACGATGTCATACAAAAGAAATCAGACACATTTAGGGAGATCATCAAATACGAGAAATCGTATAAAAAATCTCATTGCTCGGAATTTAAAAATTCACTCTGCCCTGGAGAGATACATTTATGATGTGAATGGATTAAATGATATAGAAGAGAGTGAGGATGGGGAATATAGTAGTGAGAATGAGGGTGATGCTTGTAATGGAGCTCAGTTTGGTAAGACAGACAAATTCCACGAAATTGAATCAATTTCATTTGCTAAATATTCTCTCCCCTGGTTTGAAACCTAAATTTCAGTTGGTGCCAGATTTTCCCATAGGGTTGGCAAATTTTTAAACTCTTAAGTAATAAACTTTTAAGGGTTTGCATACTTGGGCACTGGTCACTGTACACAGCTAAGGATTTAAGAATTGCATCCAGTTCAAAATCCATTAAATTTCTAGAATAAGAAAATTCACATTCTGATACTCAAAACATCTTCCTGTTTCACCAGAAATATGGCTGGGGAGAATTGCGATGTCATCGTTTATTATGATGGAAAATTCGGGATATTTGCTGGTTTTAGACATTTCTTTAACAGGTAAAATGGAAATGTCGCACCAATTTGAGAGGGAGAATACTGATACCAGTGATTTCCCCTTCGATCAATGTGCTGTACCCTGTTGAAGATAAGAAAATAACATGACACTCTTGAAAACTAGAAAATAACATGTCATCCTGTTGAAAAGCTTTACACTAAAAGGATGAAGCATTAAGATATTTTATGCAAAAATGGTAAAATTAAGATTTTACATCCTGTTGATAAAAAGTGTGGGAGGATACTGAGATTGTTCTTGTTTCAACATTAATCACTGTATGTACAGAGATCGCCTAGTATTAAAAGTGGGTGATCAAAGACTCGACAAGATGCGCAAAATTCAAATATCGTGTAACGGTTATTTTTAAAAGATTTATTTGTGTTCATATTACACGCTACTGGTGATTCAATAAGGTTTTGTAGGCACAAGAACACCCATATGCTTTGAAAAATATATATTACTTTGACCATTTTTCGTATATGTGATCGATTTTTACGATGTAAAGATATAAATGCGATATAATATGTGCTGTTTTATTTAAAAAGCTTTAAAATATCAAAAACAAGAGAAGATTTTTACTCACTTTAATTTTGTATACTTAGGTAGGGATTTGGGCTTCCATTTGACCATGATAAAGTTCACGTTTCCTCTTAAATAACATGGAATAAATATTTTAACACAGAAATGAATGGATCAGCCTATAGCGTGAGTTTCAGCAGGTCATACACCCACAACTATATGCTTTAAAGAGGAGAAAATTCGGGTTTCATGCAAAATGTATGTCCAAATTAAAATAAACATGTACATCACCGTTCATTGATTCATTCGATTAAATGGTCACTGTATGCGTATATTTTTTTATCCTGTCTTTGTTTACAATACGATATGTACACTGTACACTGCTAAGAGAAAAACCTCTTGAAGCGTAACACCTTATAAATGGAACAGTTTTTAAAGTCACATTTCAGTCCATTTATTTTACCTTTGATTCCAAAGTATGAAAACTTTACACCGTGGCATCCAAGATGATTGTCGAATTGTAATGCAAGAATTGAATAAATCATAAATGAAAATGTATGTCAATGTATCACCCATTTTCATGATTGTGGTTGTTATAAGAATGGGGTCTCATAAAAAACTTATTAAATCTGAATTGTACACTATCTATTACATTGGGAGTTAAATCATTATTTTGCAGCAAGGTATCAATAAGTTATAGAAAAATGTAATGACCTTCAGTAGATGCCAGTAGTCAGTTCCCAGTTTCACCACGAGGTGGCTAACTTGGGTCATATGTAAATGATAGGTATAGGGGAAAGCTGCTCTATAGTTCAATATTCAGAAGATTTATTGATCAATTTTCAACTAAGGTGTATAGGTGATTAGCTTGAAAATGTTAGAATTGTATGTAATCGAATGCAAAATAAACGCCCAGTGGGCATTTTTAGAGAAACAAAGTGAAATAAATACTATGCTATTCTAGACAGCGTTATGTGGATGGGACTGAGGAAAAGTTCCAGTTTAGGCTTTGGTCATATGTACATTAAAGATTTGTTTGATTTATAAGTAAAACCAAATCTTTACTTGTCAAGCTCATAGTTCTTGAAATCATTCTAAATTTGCCTCTATTTTCAATAATCTTTCTCATCTTCATCTCTTCATCTTCATGGTGTTCTATAAGGTGATTTATAATGTTTTGAAATTTAACAGTTCGTAGTGAAGGACAATAGAAACATGTAAATCCAACCACTCTGAAATGCAAAGAACATATCATTAGAATCCACATGGTAAAATCACTCACTTGGCTGATCATAATTTTTTTCATAACATCCTCCTTACCCGATACTGAAGGGGAGTTGGAACGTCTGATATGCATGTAATGTTAAGTTTTATGTATATTAACCATATATGATATTGGTTTTGTGGTTTTGGCAATCTAAAAACAGAAAATTTTGTGAAAAATGCATTTTCGTTCGACGGGTTTTTGATTTTGCTTCTTTTATCAACTCAGTTCAGGTATTTCGGTTGATTTAATCACCGAATCCTGTTACCAAATGAATCTTGAGTCTTTTATACAGCATATGGAATACCATCTGTAGGTAAAATAACTTTAAACTGGTAAAGAGAAGACAAACAAACATACCTTTCCTCCGACATTTTGGATTTTGCGCATCTTGTCGAGTCTTTGATCACCCACTTTTAATATTAGGCGATCTCTGTACATACAGTGTTAATGTTCAATTACAATTGCTTTAGCCTTTTCCAATAGCTTCATCTACCTACTGTCAGTCTGAGCTAGGCTTCAATCCTCAGAGTAAGCTTTCAATCACTGTATTTAAACAAATAGGTACATGTACTTAATTTTATTGGATAGGATACAAAGCTTTTACTTACATGTCCATATGTCCATCCTTAAAATATAGTTTTTTCTGATATTTGCAGATGATACAATGGACGTTGAGAATGCTCCCTCCCCCACTCGTAACCAGGCAACCATCTCCCCACCCCCAATGGTTGTTGGCTCAGCAACTAAGTCTGCTCGCAAGGGACGATTTGCAGCCCTCGCAGCAAACATAAATGGATGGGAGGATGACCTGAGTCACCCATCACACAGGTAAACATTAAGTCATGCTTCATATAGGTAAACATTTAGCCATTCTTCAGATAGGTAAACATTTAGCCATTCTTCAGATAGGTAAACATTTAGCCATTCTTCAGATAGGTAAACATTTCAATACTAGCTCCCTGATAAACTGTTATCTAAAAAGTTGATTGTGATTGGCGGAGTTAAAATGTCTACTGTGACATATTTATGATATTTCCAAAGCAATGCCTTTCTAGGGATTCAGCATTAATTATAAAAACATTTTATTCATTTAGAATGATTCTGATTAAACCTGATTATACAATTGCATTGATTTAATGGGCGATAGTGAATGATGTTTTACTCATCATGTCGCATAGATGACTCAACATAATCTTGATAGGACTATGAATTGCTGTTTCAGAATTGAAGATGATGCTGCCCCAGTTAAACCCCCACGTACATTTAACGAGTCTGTCCCAGCTGCATCCCCCGCAAAACCACCCCGTGTCGCTGCTACAAACTCACCAATGAAAAGTAACCCTGTTCAGAGTCCTGCAAGGTCAAGCCCTGCACGTAACCCACACAGATTTGTCTCTCCCAATAAGGGTCAAACGGAAGAAACTTTCCCTGCTCCTTCACGATCCCCTTCTCCCATTAAAAAATCTGACAATGAGGCCCGTCATGTGAGCACGCTTAATGTTCCTATTGCTTCAACAAAGTCTGCCAACTCTGTAAAACAAATCACCATGACAACCCCAAAGACTGAGGAACCAATCAGAAGGGAAAACGAACCCACAGACACACCAGTTGTGATGCGTAGAAGTGCCTGGGAGAGTAAGAGTGCCAAGAAAGAGGACAATGAGCCCACAAAGAGACCAGTCTCTGCCCGCATGGCTGACTGGGAAACGAAGGTTAGAAATCCACAACCAGCACAAAGGGTAAGAGTCACTATAGCTACAAAGCTTATTTTCAATTCCTGGTGAAAGACAAACAAATGTGGTCTGGATCATCTGAAAAATTAATTTTATTAAATAGTGGGGGGAATTTAGTGGAAAATATTTCAAATGGTGATACAAGCAAATTTATTGGCTTAATCTGTTATTTAAACTATTTGGAAAAATTCTGTCCCTGTGATCGATCAAACTGAACACTATTTCAGGAAAAAATTCAAGATGGCTGCCGTATATGTGTAATTCAATACAAATGACACTCAAGATTCATATATAGAGATAAATATGGTTTAAAATAATATTGATTCAGTATTAAAGCATGTACATTATATCTAGAAATACAGTTACATTCATTAATGAGCTAAATTTGGGCAAAATGACTTTATATGGGGATTCTACAAGGTTCTATTTTGGGAGCACTCTTATTTTGCAACAACCTTAGTCATTAAACTTGTTTTCTTGAATAATGTTGATATTTCACACATAATTCAATCTAATATTTCAAGTTTACATGAAAACACTGTCTTACAAGTACCGAGGAGACTTTGAAGGAGTCCCGCAAGGTTCTACTGTACTCCATTATTATCACAATCTCTTGGAATTCGGTGGAAAATATTCAAAATTGCGATACATGCAAATTTATGGGCTAGTCAGTTATTTATGCAAATAAGAAAAATTCCATCCCTCAAATCAGCCAAACCTAATACTATTTCAGTAAAAAAATTAAGGTTGTTGAAATATGTACATAATTCGGTAAAAATGACACCTTAGATTCATACATAGAGATAATATGGTTAAAAAATAGGTTCACTCAGTATTAAGACATGCAAATATATTTAGAAATGCTATGATCTTCTTTGATTTGAATTTTGGCAAAAAGACCTTTATAGGAGTTCTTCAAGGTTCTATTTTGGCCCTCTCTGTTAGAACTTGAATTACTTACATTCTCTAATACATTTAATATCTAAGACATAATTCAAGAATATATTTCAAGTTTGGATGTGAATATTGTCAACCAAGTATCAATGCAAACATTGAAGTAGTCTTTCAAGGTTCTACCTTAGTCCATTATTATCACAATCTCTTAATAGTATGATGAAATAAGGGCAGGTAGACAAGAACTTATCAATTATACAGAATTACATGTGGAATTGCACAATACTGAACATTTAAGTACAGATTTTTTACAAAAGCAAACTAAACATTTCTAGAGACTTGCTGAGTTTAGAGCCCCGTGTCGAGTTGTCTACAGTGAGGTCAACAGTAAAGGCCATGTGATGTTGCAGCTATAACACAGCTAATAGCAGAAACAAAGCAACACAAAACCAACTTGCCAATTGAATGACTTGATATAACTAAGGCAGCAGTGTACCACACAAATGAACTCAACAGCTTTGAAGCATTATAATGTTCCTCAACATGTGATTGGCCTTGAGATAGAGTACCTTGAAGGTATTCAGTTGAGATTCTTGACTGAAACAATCACCACTGGTTGGCAGCCTTTAGAGAAGGGAATCATGGCAGGCTGCATATTACTATTCATGGCAGCTATGAACATCCTTCTGAAAGGAGCCACAAGGAGTGCAATGAATTTAAAATGAGAAATGGTAACCCACATCCAACATACTAGTATCACATTTTCATGGATTGATGGGGTCACTCCAGCAAATGACACTGAAATAGCCATTTTGTGTATCTTCACTGAACTAAAAAACCTAGTAACCTGGGAATCATATCAAATGTTGCAGTCTCCTGGAAGCTCCCTGTCATTTCCTTCTAGAACACTAAATGACACAAAACTTACCCAATCAACTAGACAAGGCAGGATGGCCTAATAGAACATCAAACATATTGATCCAATTGTCACAAGTACCTCAAACTGCCTAAAGAGTCCTAAAGCAACATATGTGATTCAGGCAACAGATAGAAAGGTGACTAATTGTAATGACTATTACAATGAGACTCCTTTATTGCCCAAATGATTTGATTGTCATCACATCAGAACAATATGATAGTCCTTTTCCTGGCTGTTAAATTCTGCTGGAGTTACAGCAACAGAGTGGAAGAAGGCTCTCTTGGAAATAGGCCAAACAGAAAAATGGTGACTATGGCTGCATTGTACAGAGCTGGCTGAATAACTGAGTGAGGTATGATCAACCTGTTTTCCAACCTCTCTGAGTTTGTATGCAGCTTTAGGGGTAGAAGCAGAAAGAATAGAAATTAAACTGACAAAAAAAGACTAAAGCTGCTAATCACAACAAAACTTGAAGGACAATAGTGCCACAAGCAATGATACTCCATTGTTTAAACTCACGTCAAAATTCTGCAATTATTTTCTTGCTGGTGTCAAAGTAATGGTGTTGTAGTTGTAAAACATGGTAAATACATTGATAAATCTCCAAAACTCACTCAGTACGCAATTTTCAGTTGTTTTGGCAATGTACACAAATTGATTTTGTTGTAAATTAGTGCATTTGTAAGTGTAAAGAATAAGAAGGGTGTCAAAAGTGAACCTTAAACGGCTCCTATATAATAATGACTTTTAAAAACTGATTTTGTTGTAAATTAGTGAATGTATATTCCTATTTATAGAACAGTAGTACCAATGATGTTAAATTCATTAAATTAAATAGAGTATCCATTGTACCAATTTGTGAGTATACAAAATAAGAAGGGTGTCAGAAATGAACCTTGCTTAACTCCTAATTATTTATTTTGACTTGACTTCGTAACAGTATTATGTGTTATGTGTGTATGTTGTATTCTACAGCTCTAAACATAGAGATAAACATGTCTAATCATACTCTGATGAAATCATAGCAACGTCTCTATTTTATGATTACATTACATTACATAGTGATACATGTACTACATAAACATATAATCATACACATATATAAAATATGTTGTGTCCTATATAGTTATAATAATCATATTATAATATCCAGTTACCTTTCAAGATGGTCTGAATGTACTTATTTGTTTTCTGTTGATACACGTTTCTAACTTAATCCTACAGAATGATAAAATTGAGCACAACTTCCTTTTTCCAATTTTATGGGGTAGGGCACTTTCAACGCTTTTTAAAAAATACTTTCAATTTTTTAATAATTGAAATCTTCATATTGTAGTATCAGGCAAAGTTATTAGATGTTTTTTAAATAATAATTAATGTTATTTGTCATTGCATTCTTTATTTGAACCTAGAAAATGAACATTATTTCCCATTTTACGCCAAATCGCCACACTTTGGGGCCATGGGAGAGGGCTAAAATTCAGTTTAAAAATTTGAAAAAAATTCACATGACTATTTTCACCTTAAAGAACAACATTTCACCATGAGAGCATGAATTTTCCAAAAAAAAAGATTTTTGCCCACCCTACATGTTATTTAAGTCATACTTTGTCGGCCATCTTGAATTTTGGGGGGAAGAAGTGAAATATTCCGTCGATCACAGGGACAGATTTTTGGAAAAAGGTTTTAAGAAGCAGAAAAGCAAAAGTTTATACTTGTATCACCATCTGAAATATTCTGCCTAATATAGGGGTAAATTCCCCCCACTAAAATGAAAACCCTGAATGATGGATATTCACAATTGATTTCAGAAGTTTTAATGAGGTTACTTTATTTTTGATCAGAAATTTAGAAGTGAGAGTCTTGGCATAATTGTTCATCCTCCAACAACTATGAATCCACTTTCTAGCTATTGTAGAATATAATGACAGTAATTCAATCTTATTTGATAAATACTTTCACTTATTTTGTAGCCAAAGACGACATACAAGGCGACTCCGGGTCGACTAAATACCCCAGCAAGGCCTGACAATGCAGTACCCCAGCTGCGAAAAACATCCGCCCCAGTCAACAACTCCCAGCGAACTACCCACCAGGCTGAAGAACCAACTGAAAAATCCATCATGTCTCGTATGGCTTGCTGGGAGCAGAAGGCATCAACAAATCCAAACTCTGTCCCCACCCCCCAGAAGGGAGCAGTAGGAGTCAGTTTGGCCACAGGGGCTTCTATCACCCCCAAGAAACTTGTCGAACGTGGTAAATCTTTCTCTGAGAAGATCGCAGAGAGAGCGAAGGATTTACAGACACCAAATAAAAGTCCCACTAAAATACATTCTCCAGTAAAGGTAAGTCTATTACATCAATTAGAAAAATGTCAGCATTTCTTCCATTTGTTATTTGTTGTAAAAGCTGATTACATAGATCTAGTTCTGTTGAATTGAAAATGAAATGATAAAATAATATTCCCATGTACATGTATTAACTGTCCACTGGGTTGTTTTCTTACTCTTCTTAATTGTCTGAAATGAGATGACATAACAAGAGAAAAATCTAGCAACAGCTCACTGCAGGAGATACATTGCTGAAAACAGGCAACACAAATGAAAACACCAGATTATTCGAAATTATAACCTTTCATCATGAATTTATGACAAAAATCTGTTGTCAGCTGCTAAGAGAAGAAACCAGAGCCACTGGGCTTATTTTCTTTACTAGAGGTGAAATTAGGCTCTCGGGTCGGAACACAGAACAAAAATTTGACGACAGATCATAACTCCAAAGCAGTCATAGTTTAATTGATTCCTCACTTCATCAAATACATTTACCACTGACCATGCAGATCATTCTGTAAGCATGCTGACCATCAAATGTTCAATGCTAAAAAGTAATAAACTGCCTTGAATGTATTCTTTGTACTAACTGAGTAGTTATTTGTTCCTAAGATGACTCAGGGAGTGAAGAACATGCAAGAGAACCTTAAGCAGCAGATGGAGAAGAAATGGCAAGATAACGAGATTGCTGATAAGATACGCCAACAGAAAGATGCTGACATGGATGTTCTCAACACAAGGTGGCAGAATTTCAAGGTAATTCTTCATGAGATTTCAAAGAAAAAAAATTGACAATGTATAAAAAAATTCAAGACACCTGATTGTGAGAATTGTTGCCTTGAAGTCATCTTTCAAAACGTTTATAATATGAGGTAAACTTCCAAAAATACCTGCTTATTACCAGACTTCATAAAAATAGAAGTCATTGGATTGGTAGCTTATTCTTTGGAAATATTAGATAATAGCACTCAAGTCATTTGTTCAAATGGGCATATTTTTCAAGGGCTTCTTATTTCATTAGAAATGTCAAGTTGTGTGTTGAATCTAAAATGCATGTTTACACTTAGGTCAGAACCCTGTAGGTATTCTAATAATTTGAAGTATTTTTTCAATATTTGTAAGTCTGAGGTGCATTTGTGGGCAGTACAGTTATTTTGCCAGAGGCTTGAGAGCTATCAATTTCAATGTTTTGAATATGATTTCAATCTTTCTGTCAAATAAATGAATCAGATATTAAACTTAAGTATTTATTTAAAAACACTTTAAACATATTTACATATCGCGTACATGAAGTTGACAATTTGATGTCCACACAGGTCATCTGCTTGATAAAACTTATATTCCATATAAGGCCTGAATGAAGCATGTTTAATGTTCCTTTAGATTTAATTTATTCCGTCTGTTGTCTTGAGGGTGAGATACTTTACATTCCAGGAAAACATGCAACATACATAAATTGAAAATAAGTCCAGGAAAATGGGTTCACTATATTTCCATGGGAATTTCGCTCTTTTATAAAAAATGAAACAAAGCCCTGTAAAAGATAGAAATGTCTAATGGTGATCTCAATCTCATAACATTTCTATATAAAATGGAAAGCATACTAGTTTTTCGTACTCCAGATTATTCCTCATTTTATACGCTATACCTGGCAAATAAGAGTATGAATGACTTGACTTGCTTAAAGTATAGAGCAACATTCCTGGGATTTTCCTTACAGCAAAATCTTCATTTACATCAATATTAATTTATTCATTCATTTTAAAGTGAGATGTATTTGTTAACAGTGTCAGTTCATGTTGGAAAAATGAGATCATTTCAGACTTCAGTTTTGAGAGGATGTTGCTTGTCATGAGTCACTATATTTTGGCACAGGTGTCACGATTCATGGGGGAGAAACAACGATGATACCAAAAGTGTAACTCATAACAGAAATCATATTATATTGGGATAACATTGGATTTATAGCATTACAATATAGGATACAAATTAATATAACAATACATGAATTTGGAGTTTTAACTATCAAAAATTGTTGACAGATAACAAGCAATAAGAAAAGATGGTTTTTGCTTACACAAGACAGGTAAAAGTATCTACTTCACAATTTGAAGAAAATATCTTTGATATTTAAACGCTAAAGAAATAAAAAAGTGTTAATGAGACATCTTTATAATTTCAGGGTGGCCCCGTCACTTCAACCTCTGCTCCTGCGCCAGCTCCACCAGCACCACCAGCGCCCTCTGCCCCTGTTCAAGAACCAGTCAGATCAAGGCATCAAACTGCACCACAACCCAAACTCGAGAATGACATGCCTAAGCCTCGTCCTCGCTCAAAGCACCTGTCAGCTGACCTTTTCCGTGCTGCAGCCCTTGATGAGAGTATAATGCCGGAGCCTGAAGAGCCTAAAACTCGTCCACCTACGATGCGTGGAAAAGTTGGTGATAAACGCGAAGCTGCAAGAAATAAAGTTAGACAAGGTATAACTGAAATCTTTGTATTTTCTACAATTTTTAAAATAGGAATCAAATATTGAGTTTCAGCATATTATTTCCTTTGATATATTCCAAAATCAAAAGCATGCTATTCAACTTAAGATTTGTCTTGAATTTTGAAGACTTGTCGGCTTCCTCAAAAATAAAAGCATTCCTTCCCAGTTAAATATATGACATAAAGATTATGTCACTAAGTACATTTGAAGCTCAAGAATTATTAATTTGCAATATGAATTTGTGCATGATTATTATTACAAGGAGTTTCATTAGCACCAGGCAATATGTGATTTTCTCCAGTTGTTTTTATCAAAATCCCATTCAATGTTGAAATTATATTTCCAATAAGTTTGCCCTTTGTCAGAAATTCCAATTAAACCCCTGATTATGTTGCCATTATAGCATGCATTTAAATCAATGTCATTGAGATATTTAATTGGACATTTGATTTGATGGTAGTGATAGTCCTGACTTGAGTCATACACCCTGCAGATATGTGTTAAATATAGCTAAATTATAATATTACTACTTCATACCTGATCCATGATTTCAGTCATGTCTTTATATTTTCATAATATGTCAATTTGAATCAATTTCTTCACTTCATACATATTTCAAATTGAGTGTAATTTTTGATGTAAATCACAATATTGTTGGTATTATCGTTCAAAGATTTTTCATACAATTAAAAGTGCTATATATAGTGCTAATATATTCATAAAAGCGGGTTGTTTAAAAAGTGACAACATGATACTTTGATTTCTTGGATGTTATAAGGCATTTTAAATAAGTTAGCCTGTTCTGCAAAATGCCATGTTGAGTAATTTAAAAATTGTCCTAAGAAAATGAATTATGTTTCGATGAAAATTCAAGACTCAAAAGATTTCGAATAAATTATCAGGTGGTTGCTTCAATCTTCTATTTATTTATTTTTGCAATTGGCTATTGTTAATTGGTCAATTTGGGTCACATGTTCTACTGAGGACTTATGGGACATGACACCATGTAATAGATCACTATAATATGACAGTCAATGACAAATCAACCTGTTCTTTATTACTTTTATATTTGGCTCGAGGCATGTTTTTAGGTTAGACTGTTGTTAGTCAAGTATGTTAAACCATGCTTGCTTTCCTTCCATTGCAAATTTGACAATAATTAAAAACGTGAATATGATTCATCCTTGAATTAATGGAAAAATTGAATTGGTTTGGCCTATCAAGGCATAGCAAACATTTTTGGAACATCATTTCCAAAAGACAGAAAAATGATGGAACAAGATATACAATATACCAATAGATTCTGCCATTTCTCATAGGAAATCTATTTGGAGATGAGGGGTATGGTGTTGGGGAATAATCCCTTTAGATCCCTCTTTTTAATGAATTAATTCCTTGATACCAAAACATATCTCAGTATCCATCAATCTCTTCACTAATACCGGGAACATTGACAGTAAAAGCTGTAATTAAAAAATGATGAATTGATACTGACACTATTTTTTATGGGTTTCCAGTTTTATGTTTTAAAATTGAATGGTAGCCTGTAATTAAACATAGATACTTGCTACTTAAATGAATAATAATATGATTAATAGTAGTGAAGATTGAAGAATTTGAATTTTAAATAGTGACATATTCTAATTTTGCCTGTCAGTCCATAGGATCACCCACACGTCTATTTGTCCATTTATCCATTTTGGCCATAAGAAAACTGCCATTTGTTCATATCTATTTTTATTATTAAGACATATTGTTATGGTCTCCAATTTTTTGTGGAAACCATTCTGCAGTAGGTGTTTGGCATTCAGTATTTGGGATCTGTAACAAATGGCAGGTGGTGACATTTTGCATGTTAATGCCTTGTGTATATTAAATTACACCCCTGTTGATAAGTGCTTTTATTTTGTAAAGAATATATAGCACATAGATTGGGGGAATGCATCAGGTCGAAATGTAACCTGGAGCCAGTATTAGAAGATGAAGCAGCCTGTTCTGAACCATGTAAACAAGCTATATCCCTCTTTTCAATACCATGGCAGCTAGTCATTAAAAGTTTTTTTGAAATCTTAAAAATTGATTTAAAGGGTGTTTCAAAAGCATGCTTATGGTATGGTTATTAATGATGCATTCATTACCTTATAGCTTATCTACAACTGTAGATGTTTTGAAATATACTATATGATTTAAAAATGGCACCAACATTCATCTGGAATATCTTGAATTACTGTTAACACACTTGACTGCCATGGATTCTAATTTGGGATAAAATGTAGCATAAGTTAGAAATCTTCAATCACTTTTGTTTTGTTCATTTTGTTATAATCAAGTTTTAATATGTTATATACAGTTGCATATGTTTTAAAGCATGCTTTGTATTGTCTCCTTTTTATGTATGCATTGTAGGACAATTATATGAAATTGTATCAAAAATAAAAATACATTTTACAAGTAACTGACTGATATTAGAAAGTCTTGGATTTGTTTCAGGTTTAAAATTTGCATCTTATTAATCTCAAGCTAATTATTCACATTTTAATCATCTTAATATGAAACTTAATGTTTACCATTCACTGTCTAAAAGTAGAAGATCATTAGTGAATTAAGACAATGCATGGCATTGTCCATCAAGGTAGTGCATGGTCATTAAAAAATAGTGTATCAGTTAACTAAGATAATGCATGGCAATTAAATAAACAGTGTCTAGATTAAAAATTTATGTGCATATTTGATATTTACTTGCATGTGCACTTTGTTTATGTATTCCAGATTTTGAGAGTAAACTCAAAACCATGGGCTTCGCGGTCGAATCTAATGCAGATCTCGGCCACGTCGCTAAAATAAATCTTAAAAAAGGTGCAGTGAAGATATCCAAAGGTGCGCAGCCTGGTGAGAAAATAATGGAATATCAAGTTGAGACGACTGTCGAGACAAAAAATGGTGAAACGCGTGTAAGCAGCAAGGTCTTGAAGGATAATACCAGCACAGATAGCGGATTGAGTCGTGAGGGATCGTTCCGCGGAAATGCCGATTATGACACTCAGAGTGAGACTGGGTCCGAGCGTAGCAATAGTCGCCAAAGCACCTCCCCCAGTTCTAGCGAATACACTGTGGATGACAGTATCTTTGAGGCCCCTAGAGGGCGCCCCTACAAACGCCAAGATTCATTCTCCTCTCAGCAATCGCTCGAGACCGATTGCTCCGAATACACCAATGAAACAGCAGATGAAAGCTACGATGAGCAGGAAACAACCATCAAGCAAAGAGTTGCAGATTCTTATGACGAGAGTGAATCCGAGGCTAGTAGCACATATGTAAGCCTCAACGAGTATCGTCGACAGACAAGTGGCTCCAAACAGTACAAATATGTGCCCCGTAATGTACCAGCCGCAGATTACTCCACAACGGAGAGTGACAGTGACTTTGTCCCCTCACATAGTTTTAAGGTGAGAAAATAACCACTGAAGAAGGAATATTTCTTACACTTCATTCAACATATCATTTACAAACAGACATATTTGGCTGTTTCAAGCTGCTCAATTCTTCCTTTTTATACCTGTTTTCAAGTGTTTGATAGAAAAGTGTATTCATATCATTGACTGCTATAATGTATTTAGAGAAACTTCAATATACATCTTAGATACATTTTATTCAGAAATAAACTATTTGTTTTTTCTCAAAGTTTGAAATGAATTGACGATTGTGAGCTTTTGGTATAAATGCAACAATTGTTAAACCCTATTAGATAAAATTCCATCTTTTTTCTAGTACCAGACCAAAGCTAACCAGCAAGTGTCTACAAGTCATGGCAGACATGACTTTGATCCCAATGAAACTGAAATAGAGGCTGCTGCTGGCGAGATTGATGACCTGCTAGATGAGGTCATGTCCGACACAGAAGATGACATCGATCCTAAGAAGTATGATACAGTGAGTATTGTGCTTAATTTTGTTCAAATGCTATACTTGCTAATATAAAAGTCACTGATGGTTGAGTTTAGTTCAAAAACAGGGAACTCATCATGACACAAAGTTTTCCATGATGTCATAGATTTAACCAGTTTAATTGTTTGAAAACCTGCCTACTTGAATGACCATGCTTTAATTCATTGAATTTGATTCCATAAGTAAAAATTGGCTTAAATTTGATATTTTTCTACTGATAACAAAAATACCATTTTTATTTTGATATGATATCTTATGATCGTGACAGTAACTATTGAACATATTTTGATATAAACTTAATATTGTGTTTTAGAACTTTGGCCTCAACAAGCAAGTCAGTTTCAATCCAGATGGTCCTAACTTGACTGTCATCTCCCGAGACAACAGTTCAATGGACAGCATGAGTTCGGCCAGTGATAGCTCCTCCGAGACACGTCATCAGGCATACAGCCTTAGTTCCTACAGGTGAGTTTATTTGTATGTACAATTCACGTGAATAAATTACATGTGAGAGTTGTTCGAACTTAATAAATATGTACCTGTAACAGAGGCTTTGTTGTACAGCTTTGATATCATGTTGAAGTTTTATTTTTAATAAGAATTTTTTTCTTGTATTTTTTATATTCAACTTCATGGACTAAATCCCTATTGGCACAATGTTAAAAATATTTTAAAGTTGATTTACTCTTTTGTGGATCACCACCATCTCAATGTTTAATCACTACAATCATACCAACAATTTCACCTAGTTGCATGGCAATGGAGTTTATAATTGTGTGAATCAACCCTCTTATTTTATTTGAGTAAAATACATAATGTTTTTTTTGGTATTTTAAAGTGTGACTCTATGTTCAGTCACCCAATTTTGCTCAATGTCTTTCTAGGTCAACCCAAAGCACAAAGAAGCAGCCAGTACCTGCCCCAAGAGTAACAGTAGTACGACGTGTAAAACACGAAAGTTCAAGTTCCCAAGAGGATGAAGAACCACTTCCTTTTATTCCAGAGAAGAATGCCAAAGAAAAGATTCAGGTATTATTTCTTTCAGATATGATTTTTATCTTACAACCAAGAAGTATTTTGGCACATGTAACTAGCATTTTGGAATCTGTAACATTTGTTACAGAGGTGAAGTTATAAGCAACAAGTGATTAAAAGCAAAATATGAACATGTCAAATTCACTAGGATCATTTATTCCTAAGCTGAATCAAGATGAATGGAACAAATAAATTAAGAACAAAAAATATAAAATAATGTAAATACATTTAGGCAGAAATGTAAAAGTTGTTTATTTCCTGATATTTTAGGAGTTGCAACAACTGGTGAATGGGGAACAAAGTGTGATTATGCAGACTAGCAATGCGCTGAACAAATGCTGTGGCCGCGAGTCATCATTTGCAGGGTCAGCGGAACAAGTCGAGTGCAATAGATTGCTACTTATAGCATGTAAGTTTCTCAATGAATTGACGTATCGCTGTGTTGCAATGGCCATCATTGGTCAATTGTTTGGAACATGACATCTTTAATAGGATTTACATTTGTGCAAGATTGAGCTAGGTAAAAAAAAATCAACAAAATGTTGCCTTTTGTTGAAAACATATAAAGAAAACTCCATTTGCTATAATAAGAAAGAACAAAATACAAAATCTATGTATCTAGAAATTGCAGTTTTCTTTAGAATCAAAATTTCCTTGTGAATTTTACTGATAGTTGAATTATTTTGTTTTTGTCTTATTTAGGCCAGAAACGTCAATCCTACTTGGCTGAAATCCAAAAACTGAAGGAAGGCAAGGCAACCAAGCCTCATCCTAATACTTCTAAGGGGTCTCTTTCTATCAGTGATATGAGACTTCCACTGAAGAAAGATTTCCTCAGCAGGATGGGAACATCCTCAGGTAAGACCCCTTCTCAGTCTCATGTGACAGCTCTTTATGCAGTTGTTCTTATCTTAGATTAATATTGTATGTAAACATTGCCCAGAAATCAAATTAATGGAATAAAATTTGGAAAAACTTGGAACACGTTTCATGAAAAAAGTATTACAAATGATTGTAAACCTACTTATGCCAATAAAAGAGATATATTATTGTTGTATATTTCTTTGTAGACAAGACGGTTCACTACTTCCTTTGCCTGCTTCGTAACGGTCCCCACGTGATAGCCACCCAGATGGTCTCGACACATGACGCAGGAGTTCGCGCCAGTATTGATTTTCCAAATCTTATTAATATCAAGGAGGTCCATAGAGACTTCAAATATGACTTGGAGATATATTCAATGGTAAGGAGGCATGCATTGATGAGTTGATAACATAGTAAACCTGATTTTACAGATTTGCAATTGATACAAATGTTCTTGTAAAAATCTAAGAGGATTAGAAATTGTGTGTAAAGTTGATCAATGAACGCAATTTCATGGCGGGTCCCTTTCATTAACCACCATGTAAACCTATTAACATGAAAAATGAATGGTCCATTTTCATTAACTGTATAGTTTTTCTCACAAAACTTATTTTACGAAAATAACAACACCTTAATTTTTGTTCCCCCAAACATAATTAATTTTGTGAAAACAAGATATTAATAATTGCCCAAGTTCATTAGTTGCGTGTATGAAAGTATTGAAATTCTCATCCTTCTTGTCTTATAGTCTGTTACAAAGGAAATACAAGACCCAAAGAAATCCAAGTCCAAGACCCCCAAGAAATTGTTTGGAAAGTCTCAAACTGGTAAGTATTCTCATCTCTTAACTTTTGAATCTCTCTAATCTCTATGGAGGGAAAACAGTCAATTTCATACTTTTTCTAAGACTTGTATTCAATTTAAAAGCTCAAAGAGGTATAGTGTGACAGGGTTGGTGAACAGCATGGGTTATTGCTAACTTTTGGTTATCTGAGAATGAATCCCTGGAGAACATTTGATATTCATATTAATAGGGTAGATTTATTTATAAGGCAGATTATTCTACTCTCCCTATATACTTTATATGTACGAGGTTAAAGATGGGTTGGGTCACTAGGGATTGATGCAGTACTATTTATATCTGTTTTTTTTGCATTGCATCAACATTTGCTTTATTTCCATTTCCAGCTATGCCTAGTCCAGGTGGCCCATATGCAGTGAGGACTACTAGTTTCACATGTAATGCTACACTGCCACTGACCATGGATTGCCTTAACATTTGCTTTATTTACATTTCCAGCTATGCCTAGTCCAGGTGGCCCATATGCAGTGAGGACTACTAGTTTCACATGTATTGCTACACTGCCACTGACCATGGATTGCCTTAACATTTGCTTTATTTACATTTCCAGCTATGCCTAGTCCAGGTGGCCCATATGCAGTGAGGACTACTAGTTTCACATGTATTGCTACACTGCCACTGACCATGGATTGCCTTAACATTTGCTTTATTTACATTTCCAGCTATGCCTAGTCCAGGTGGCCCATATGCAGTGAGGACTACTAGTTTCACATGTATTGCTACACTGCCACTGACCATGGATTGCCTTAACATTTGCTTTATTTACATTTCCAGCTATGCCTAGTCCAGGTGGCCCATATGCAGTGAGGACTACTAGTTTCACATGTATTGCTACACTGCCACTGACCATGGATTGCCTTAACATTTGCTTTATTTACATTTCCAGCTATGCCTAGTCCAGGTGGCCCATATGCAGTGAGGACTACTAGTTTCACATGTATTGCTACACTGCCACTGACCATGGATTGCCTTAACATTTGCTTTATTTACATTTCCAGCTATGCCTAGTCCAGGTGGCCCATATGCAGTGAGGACTACTAGCTTCACATGTATTGCTACACTGCCGCTGACCATGGATTGCCTTAACATTTGCTTTATTTACATTTCCAGCTATGCCTAGTCCAGGTGGCCCATATGCAGTGAGGACTACTAGTTTCACCTGTATTGCTACACTGCCGCTGACCATGGATTGCATCAACATTTGCTTTATTTACATTTCCAGCTATGCCTAGTCCAGGTGGCCCATATGCAGTGAGGACTACTAGTTTCACCTGTATTGCTACACTGCCGCTGACCATGGATTGCATCAACATTTGCTTTATTTACATTTCCAGCTATGCCTAGTCCAGGTGGCCCATATGCAGTGAGGACTACAAGTTTCACATGTATTGCTACACTGCCACTGACCATGGATTGCCTTAACATTTGCTTCATTTACATTTCCAGCTATGCCTAGTCCAGGTGGCCCATATGCAGTTAGGACTACTAGTTTCACATGTATTGCTACACTGCCACCGACCATGGATTGCCTTAACATTTGCTTTATTTACATTTCCAGCTATGCCTAGTCCAGGTGGCCCATATGCAGTGAGGACTACTAGTTTCACATGTATTGCTACTCTGCCACTGACCATGGATTGCCTCAACCACAACTGCTTTACACTAAACAGAGTAAGCACATAAAATTAAATCAAAATTCATGGGCAGCATTGCTTTTGACAGAATTGGGCATAAACTTCAGACAAATTTTTGAAAAACTCCAAAACTATGTAATTGTTTTCAAATATATTTTTGGACTAAACATTGAAGTCCTGTCTAAATCAACACAAGCCAGTGTTCATAGGAAAATGTTTTTGAAACAAATCTCCAAGCTCACAAGTGTTCTAAATAGTTAAATTAAGCTGACGCTTTCTTTTATTTGTAGACTAAAAATATTTGTGTATGTTGTATTTCATTCATGTAAAATATGGAATATTGACTTCTCTTCAGGTCCCTTACTCGAGTCCACTCCATGGTACCATTTACCTGAGACTACGCTGTATGTTTGAAATTAATGTAGAAGAAAGAGGATTCCTGGTAAGTTTTTATGAAGGTCGTTACCTGTAATCATGGTGCCTATATTACGCCATAGATCTACGAGGTTTTTTCCAAATTCCGTATTTGAAGTAGAGCGTGATGAATAAAATAGAGAATAATGCAAGGATGTTATATGACATGTTTGCTGAAAATTCTTTTTTCAGCATACAACCAAAATGTATTGAAATGTAAAGGGTGATATGTTTTTTAAATACCATAATGTTTAGAGACGACCAACAATATCCTGCTTCATTATTGCACACTTTTCGTTGCAGACCATGTTTGAAGATGTGAGTGGGTTTGGAGCCTGGCATAGAAGATGGTGTGTTTTGCGTAAAGGCACCCTGAGATACTGGAAATACCCCGATGATGAAAACCATCGTGATCCAATGGGAATCATCGATTTAAAGCGTTGCATCACAGATTCAGTTGGCTTGATTCCACGTGATATCTGTGCCCGACCTCATACTTTTGAGTTGGTGTCGATCCGACCGCAACAGAGAGGGGAACGCAACTCTCTGATTTCACAGACCTACAACACAATGACCACAACAAGGTATGAACATGTAATGCCTCAACAGAGTAACTATACGTTCAATGTGGGAGTGGTGGAAATCACTAATCGACCAGTGTTGCCCTAAATTGAAAAAAGCAATAAAATGATTAATCAAGGTTTAGTTTTATGAGAATGTACTTCTAAACAGGCATTTTATTTCTGAACTCATAAGGTTACTCATACATAATGTTATTGTTCATAATGTTTCATGAATTAACTTTTTGAAAGAAAAGGATAGTTTCAATCTACAAAACAGGAATAGATTCAGGGAAACATCAAAATGCAAGCCTCATTTTGTGAGACACCCCGTATATAAAGAATGCAATAAATTTAAACATCATTCATAGTCTTTATTTTATAATATCAGAAAAGTAGCAAGATTAAGAGAATATGAATATCACTTTGACCTGTTCTAGTCGACACATGCTCACATGCAATGAAACCTGCGACATTTTATAAAATAAGTCATATTGTATTTTTAGACATCAGCTGTCAGCAGACACAAAGGAAGACAGAATCCTTTGGTGTAAGAAAGTGAACGAGGCTTTAGAGAATGTACGAGCGTGGCACCCTGATGCGATGAGACCAATCAAGCGCAAAACGAATCCTAATGAATCCAATGTATAGACAGAGACATCTAGTATAGTGAATTAAGTCTGAGTTATATGGATCAACCCAACACTGATATTTTTAATATTTTATAAAACTCCTGAAATTTGCAAATATGTGCAATTTGAAGTTTAAATCTGGAGAAATCTGGTGCTACAGAGAAGTTACACATCAGATCAGACAGTGATAAAGGCCTGAAAGGTCCAAGACACAACAGAAATACTTAGTTTCTATCGAGATATAAAAACACATTTAAGCAAGTTCTCATACCGAAGTATTGCTGCAAAAATCATACAGTTTTTACTCAACCATGAAAATCCAAATTTGAGGGTAACCACTTATATTACTAAATCATATAATACTACACATACATGCAAATAGACATTTACATGACACATATTCTATTATATTGGTTTATATATCACATGTACAAGCAATGCCAATAGATATATTTATACCATATACTTGTAAATAACTGCACAGATATAACATGCTGACCTGTATATTATAACTTGTAAATATGAATGCATGTTCTTGCTATGCACACGTTTTATGCCATTTTCATGGTAACATTTTGTAAAAACAGTGAAATTGAAAAAGTGGATGGACAGATTTCTGTTTTTAACATGTTGAAAAGTGTAAATGTGAAAACGTTAATATGTGAGAATGTGAAAATAACAATTTGAAATAACATACACAATGTGAAAGAAAATATGAAAATACAAATATAAAAACATGTTAGTATAAGTATGAAACACCATGTACTTTAGGGAGAAGTTAGAAACAATTAGTATGAAAGTTATGCATATGGAAAAGCTTTAAAAATAGATTGTGTTCAAATGATGTTCACAGCACAAAGTTAAATGCTGTAAATGATACAGATACAAAAGATGTTCAAATTAACATTGAAGTCAATAATGCTTGGTATTAAACGTGGTGTTCATCTTGAAATGTTTTACTGTATAATTATCCATGTGATACTATAATTTTATTAATTTATTTCATTTTATTTTACTGATTGCTTGTTTGAATTCTGTATATGAGATTACTTAACCAACTGTGTATCAAAAATTAATTTTTATGTGGATATGACTTAACATATTTACGAGAATGATCGATATGTGTTCAGTAGAGAAAGTGACATATACAATTTATTGTAGTGTTCCGTGTTCATACAATAAAATAAAAGCATTAGGTTGAGAGATTTAAGACCCATTTTTATCTACAACATTTATTCTTCCAGGGGTCCATTTCTAAAATATAAGTATAAAAACTACTGATACATGTTCTATGGGGTTTGACTTTTCAAAAATTGACCCCAGATTGTTCACGAGTAGTGTTCACTAAAACATGTCATTGAAAATTATCATTCTCCAAATGGATAACATCTTCTGGCTCTCTTGAATGGAGGTTAAATGAGATAAATTGATCGATTTGGAGAATGTAATCACAAAAATACAAGTCTCTGTAAAATCTTGATGTGTTAAAGTCCCCGTCTAAAGTTTGAAAATATTTTTTTATCATTCATTTACTATTTGTCAGGACTTAAAAAGTGATTTTAGAGATTTTTGGACAAAAAAAAAAGTTGTGAGCATTTCATTTCTCAAATATTCAAATTTCCCGTCATTTTTCAAAAAAAATTGAAATTTCTTAATCATCAAATATTTCTTAATGCATTTCAAAAAAGATTGTATTTTTAACACCAATGCAAAGATTGAACAAAGGACACACTATTTCAATAATAAAATGCCATATTTAATGGGCCACTTCAATGTTTTAACATATCAAAAATATTTTGAAGCATAAGTGATGTCACTAAGGTACCAAAAACTTTTTGAAAATTGAAATTTTTTTTTCGATGTCAATCTTTTCTAAATATGTTAGAATTTCATAAAAAACCAATGTTGATTGTCTAACCAGGTTAAAAAGAAGAATAAATTATGTTTTAGATATCATTGTACCATTGGTTTCTATGAGAACTAAAATTTTGAAATGCATTTTTCTCAGAACCATTTTCATGCACTGATAAGTTCATTTCTCGCTCATTTATGAACCGATTTTCTTAATTTTTTCTGCAAAAAAACATGGGAGGATGAATGCTATGCATTGGTATGAATTGTGGCTAATTAGAAGATATGAGTGACCTCTAAAAGTTTGTTTTAAATAAATTCACAAATTTTGGAACAAAAAAGTCTATCAAAAACCACTTTTTGAAATTTAAAAAAAATGTTTCACATATCACACTTTGATAACATTGGGTAAGACTACAATATAAGCCAAAGTGGTTTAAACTTTATATGGGGCCTTTAAGATTTTATTGCAATTCTATGTATTGTATAAACCCTTGTTATTTTATACTCTGTTATAAGCCTGTGAGAAGCTTCATAGTTTTAGTTTGTACATAAAATAGTTTATATATAAATTATGTTCTTACAAGTTACTACAGTATACTTCATTAACTGAATGGTTACAACTTTTCCCACCCCCAATGTTATTTTCTAAAGATTAGTGGAAGTTTCGATTTTGAAACTGATCATCTGAAAATATTCAAATCTTCACCAAGTAAATGATAGACTTTCTCATGTTTTGAAGTCAATACTTGCTTTCAAGTGGATTATCACATTATAATGAGGAGGAGGGACTGAATGAAGACTTCATTGAAATTGAAGTCATGTATGATTGGTGCCCAGTACTCAACGCTGTTGAAGTAAATAAGGTTATATATTGAGAAACTAATATTTCTGTACTGTTTCATCCTCCGATCACAGGGCTTCAAAATCCAGAATATCTTCTTTCTTTTTATTACCCCCTGCGATAAGCAGTTCGCATTTCCCCTCGAACTCGCAATAACTCGCTAACTTAAGAACTCGCAATTTGATTCACTGTCACAACATTGCGAGAATAATCACATATATGTCATCGGCGCATAATTAGATCACGTGATTCAGTTTTATCGGGCGGATGGTACTATTTCTTCTATATGAGTATCACCCATTCAATCTTATAACCAGTGCAAATCATAATACAGTGAAACTTCACTAATTACAAAGACAAAAAACTAGAGTCATAGGTGATAGATATTGGGGTGCATTCACTGCATTGCTATTTTAATGTGACTCCTCTACTGCATGCGTAAGCAGTGTTCATTGTAAAAGTTTCACTGGAGTAATTGTACATGTTTGTTGTACATGTGTAAAACATTAATAGTTTGTATATATTTATGTATGAAGTATAATACTGTAATAAATACCCAGTCATCTAGGATGCTATTTAAACCATAACATAACTTACTTATGTTGTTTTTTACTTTGAAATTAATTGATCTTTAAAATCTGTAGTACTTTTAGAGACAAGTGAGTTAGAGTGAGAACCATCAAAAATAAATCCTTAATACATTTGCTAATTTACCCATTATATAAAAAAACAACCAGAAAAAATCCTATCAGTCAGTGAATCAATTATACTAGAAAAAAGGTAAGTTTCAAGGAAATCTATGCGTTTACTTTCCAAATATATATTCTGGTGGGGGAGAAATAACATAAATGAATGATAATAAATTACCCACTACTGTCCAAAGTATATGAATCAATTGTGTAACATTATCAAACCCAGTAAGGATTGTTTATGTAACATGATTATGAATTGGGTTGGAATTTTCAAATCGACCAATCACAATGGGACCTCTATAATATTGATTCATGATTGTGCTGCTTTTATTACGCAATTGTTACACAACTAGATCCACTTTAGTCATTTAGGCCAAGAGAACTAATACTACAATTAACAATCCATGAATCTGAGAAGATCGCATTCGGTATAAATATTTTTGATAATGATCGATGAGTTCTTTTGTAATGATTAATATCTTATGTTATGCATCATTGATGTTAGTTACATACAAGAAATATCATACCTTGATTACCTAATTGATTTTCTCTGGGGTAAAATTGGCAGTTTTGATAGAGGCGTGCAGATTAGCTCACATGCCAATTTAAAACTCAGGCAAAGCATTTTTTAGTCTCGTCATTCAAACTAGGATAAAATGTCTTCATTCTAGGATTCAAATGACAATTTATAGTGTTAAAAATCAAATATTGTATTCTACCCAGTGTAGTCAAATATTTATGCCGAGAGTCTGTTATATACTTCTGCCTTTGACAATGCGATCAAGTTCAAACTCCAAACGTTAACATTTTCTGAGAGTTTTGAGAGTGTATCATGGTTGCATAATTTGACAAAAATGTAGGGAGACATTGGGAATTATTGTCAAAGTAAAATCAATTTAGTGAAACGGATAGATAAATAACAATATCTTTTTTTGTTTTATCAAGAGAGATTGAGTTTGTGGTAATTGTCAAGTAAATCATGGAGGTGAAGATACCATGGGTGAATAGAAAATCTATTTTTCATCTTTTTGGCAAGGGGATGGATTCTCATAAAATTGTTTGATCTTCCCTATATGTGCATGCATACCCTTTGCATTTGTTTGCCTTTACTTCTTGAAAGAATAACTATACTCTGTTGCAGGGTAGTGTATTGTACAGCCATACAAATACATCATTGGTCTCTTTTTATTCAGCCACGAAGAGCGGTCCCGGGAGCCCAGGGAACTAAATCTGGGGGAGAATGATAAAAATGATCTAGACATCTAATTAACTAATAAAAAATGGAGCGTATTCATCATTGTTTTATTTTTTTAACTTGGTAGTTTGCTTTTTTCTTTATCATTCCTAGATGTCCTATGTCAGGGCTAGAGAGACGGATTAATCAAGTGTTCCGAAACTTGAAAGCATTTCTCAATGATCAATATTACATGAATTGAATTGACCTTAGTTGTCCTTATTCAAGAAACAACTATTCACTGAACTTGGCCTCATTGATAAAATTACTCACGTGCTGATTGGTCAAAAATTTGATTGACAGATTAATTGAATGCAGGTCAATACGCCCATTCCAAGATGGCTGTAAGGACATTGAGTACATGTTTACGCGCTGCTCGCGTTAAACGCTAAAAATATGTGAACGGAAACC